TAGAATGAAAGTATTTTAAACTTCCTGTAAGAAAACCAGCCTATACCAGGGTGGCTCACATTAAGTTGTGGTGGCTCACATGTGGTGGCTCACACTCATATTAGATTGGTCATTACTGTTGATAATAAATATTTTCATAAGTAAGTATGGGGTTTTGAGACAATGGTATTATTGTTTGTTTAAACTATCATAGCATGAGGATGCCAAGCAAAGAAGCAATAGTATCATAAATCCTTAAAAAGGACAGCGATTAAGTGTACTTGCTTTTTCTTTGGCAATAGAAAAACAAAGCCTCTGTAGCTCTCAGCAGTGCAATTTTCTGATGACAAAACTATCTCCTCAAAATCCTTTCAATATGCAAAAGCTAACCTCTTCTCTCTCCACTAAAATATATGAAAAAATGTATAAAAAATCACAACTCAGTGACTTCAGATCACAAACACGCTCAGAACTTAATTGAGGATGAAACTACAGATTTGCTATTTGTGCAAGCGAAATATTTGCCCATACAGTGCCACAGTACTAAGCATTACCATTAATTTGATTTGCACATTTAAAAATGAGTTGAGAATTTGCCCTTTGGGGTTTTATTTGGGTTTTGGAGTAGGTTTTTTGTTGTTTTTTTTTTTGTGTGTGTTTGTTTTCTTTCTGTTTGGGTTTTGTTTTGTTTGTTTGGGTTTTTTTTTCTTTTTACAGATCTGACAACATTCTTTTGTTTGCAGACCCTGTTATTTCTGAGCTTGATTCTGCTTCCCATAATATATACATATATATATATATATATATATATATATGGGACTGCATCAAAAGGAGCATGAGCAGCAGGTTGAAGGAGGTGATCCTGCCCATCTACTCTGCTCTTGTGAGATCTCACTTGGAGTATTGTGTGCAGTTCTGGTGTCCTCAATATAAGAAGGACATGGAACTGTTGGAACAAGGCCAGAGGAGGGCCATGAAGATGATCAGGGGACTGGAGCACCTCCCGTATGAAGTCAGGCTGAGAAAGTTGGGGCTGTTCAGCCTGGAGATGAGAAGGCTGCGTGGAGACCTCCTAGCAGCCTTCCAGTATCTGAAGGGGGCCTATAGGGATGCTGGGGAGGGACTCTTCATTAGGGACTGTAGTGATAGGACAAAGGGTAACGGGTTAAAACTTAAACAGGGGAAGTTTAGATTAGGTATAAGGAAGAAGCCCTTTACGATAAGGGTGGTGAGGCACTGGAACAGGTTGCCCAAGGAAGTTTTGAATGTTCCACCTCTGGCAGTGTTCAAGGCCAGGCTGGACAGTGTCTCGGGCAATGTGGCCTAGTGTGAGGCGTCCCCCCCCATGGCAGGGGTGTTGGAACTAGATGATCTTAAAGTCCTTTCCAACCCAAACCATTCTGTGATTCTGTAATACTCACTATAAAATTAAGGAAAATACACAGAAGTGCAGGTGAGTTCACAGTTCATAAATCCAGCCTATATGGACTAAGAAAAAGACTGCATTTAAAAAGAGATGCTCTGCCTTTAATCACTCTCCTTTGTTTCAGAGTATTTAACAACACTGTTGTTAATACTTTGACTGGATTCACACCACAAATTCAATTGATAAAAATATGAGATACAGAAGGTAGTGTCATCTTTGGAGAAAGTAAGCTAAAATGTATCTTGAAGGACAGAAAAGCTGGGAAGGGGGGCCGGCAAAATAAAAGCAATGAAAACAAAAACTAAATGTCCTTTTCTGCATGATTCCCAAAGGCCCCATTCTAAAGAATGACCATGAACCCACCTATCCAGATAAGACAAGAAGTAGTTGATGAAAACCAGACATTTTCTGCAGTTTGGAGAATGACATTTTTGTTTTTCAGCATCAATTTTGCAGAGAACTATTATCTTAATAAATAATGGGAAAATTTACTTGCTGAAATTTTTCAGGCATAAGAGAAAACATGTACTACAGCATATTCAAAAGTAATCTGATCACCCTCATCTCTAACAGAGCTGTGTGGCAAAAGCAGACTTGCACGCTGCTCACCAAAAACGGGATCTGTGCTTGCAATTCACGCTTGCTAGAAAAGACAGCATGTGCATATGTAATTCTGTCAACATGTATGCAAGTGTGTGCAGGCAGATTAAAACTTCTGAGATTAACTTTGGAAGAGTGCTTAGAAATCTGCATGTGCTCATTAACATTGTATGGATGTCTAGTGTTGTTACCCGCTGTATCACCACTCTTGATCTTAAACGTGTAGTTGGTTGATTGCTGGTTAACTGTTATTAATAAGGCAAAAAACCACTGTGAACTTAATTTGATTGAAACCACCTGGCTGAACAGTTTTTCCATGTGACAATCATGAGCGAATAAATCATGAAGAAGTAATAAATATGCTTTTTCTAGTACAGGAATACATATAGACAATGAACGAAGTAACCAAAAGACAGATACCAGAAAAAAAAAAGGTAGTTTTTCAAACAATGCATAAAGCAACCTAAAAAGTGTTTGCCAAAACATGTACTGGATGTTAAATGGGTTAAAAATTGATTGAATGAAATTTATGGAAGAAAAACGGGCATCAAATATAATAGGTACACCTGCTGAAACACAAATTATTGAATATACTGAATATATTTGGTATACTGAATGATCACACTTTTTTTTTTTGCCAGGCATTCACCAGTGGTCACTGTGAAAAAAAGACATTGCACTAGACAGACCTTTGGTCTGAGCAATTGTCTCTCTATTGAAGGATATTCTTTCTCTACTGAAAACTAGTTCAGGAGTACTTCTCCCATGTTGCTTAATACTGCACATAAATCTTTTTATATCCCATAATAAATACCAAGGACATACTGGATTTCCACAAAACCACAAGCACCAAGCTTTATAAACCAGCATGAGTCAAACTAAATAAAATTCCACCCGTTACACTAATGGAGTTCCAAAGTCCCCCAAAGCCCAGAAACATTGGCACAGGGTACACTTTATGTAACAATTCTGTGGAAACCCCTTAGAAGTGCTGGAGTAATTCTCTGCTTTTCCCCTACCACAGGAATGATCCACAAAACAATACAAAATCAGTTCTCGATTCAATTAATTTTCATCCAGACAAAACAAAGAAGATGCCTGTAACTTGGCTTCCTTTACTCTCCTGGAGGCTTTATGCCATCAGTGCATTATCAAGAGAAGAACAACAAATGGCCCCCATTTGCCTAAGGGTTTAGATTAGAAGCTACAGTCAGCAAATGAAGAGCCATTCCTACGTGAATTTGGAAATCACTTGTTTCAAAGTGCTCTCACTTTTCCCCCCTGCCCCCCAGAAAATATTTTTCACAAGAAATAACAGGTTGGTTTGGTTGCTTTTTTTCACAGCACAGTTTTCTTCCAGGGCTGAATTTTAGAAACACAAATAAGCAGATGTCATATCCAAGAAACACAGTTTCAGGCCTATAAAAATACTTTTCAATATTACTCTAAGCTTTATCACAGTAACATCTTAATCTTTCCCAAGAAAGATAAAATAACACAGTTTAGCTCCACTTAGTTTTAAAAGCAAGTATTTTCACAGCAGTTCGGTGATAACTCAGCACTCCTGCAAAATAACTGAGGACTCTCTCATTAGAGAGCACCATTTTCTTGGTCACTGCATTTAACTGTTAAAATATTCCATTCTATCAGAATATGAGGACACTTACCCTTTTCCAAAGACTTACATATGCTGATGTCAAGATAATGTATTCCAGAAAATCCCAAAGCTTGAAACAAATTCCACACGGACAAGATACAGTCACTGGACTAACTTTCTGTTAGGCCCAGCATGTGTGTGAAAGTGATCTTACCTTCAAATGTAGTATTATGGACGGGGTGACTGAGGTAGGAAGGATCAACCTGGACTACAACTGACTGGCGAACTATTAATCTGCTACAGCCTTTTTAGAAAATAAATTCTGGAGACATTGTGTCAAAGATAGTTTAATGCCAGTGTCTTACAAAACAACATTAAAAACAATCCCAACATAGGTACTGATTCCATTAACATCTTTATTGAATGACATTTGCTCATTTTGATTCTTTTATTCTCCTGTCCTCATTTTCAAATAGGACTTAAATAACTATTTTTCTAGAAAATGTCAATACTGAGATCTGTTTACAAAAACGTCTCAGACCACCCATTACCATAGTATTTAAGTAATAACGGTGTATGATGAGTCCCTATCCCTTCTTTTGCCAGTTTAACCACTACCAGTTGAAACAGTAATGCAATATCTTACAAAAATAATTTTTAAGATTTGTTTATGTATTTTAAGGAAACTCCAGAAGTATTAACATACTTTCTCTTTTCCCAAAAGAATACTGACTACTATTCTGTTCCATCTGGCTTCTCAGTTTATTACATTGTCCTCTTTTTGGTTATCACAGATGTGATCTTTAGGAAGGAAAAACACAAATATGCTCCAATGAGGAGAAGTTTAGGCTGTGATCCTGAAAACATATATACACTTCACACAGCCACAAAACACAGTCCCATCCTTGAGAAACTTAAGAGTCAGATGACTAATGTAATGTAGTCTGTTGTAGGCAGATATAGAATCTTTTGTGCATTGCACACTGTAAACAAGTAAACAGTAGTTCACAAGTGTGTATTTTCAAATTCTTAATTATATCTAATCACTAAAAGTGATAGTCAAAAATTAGCCCTAAACAGATGCATTCTGACTCTAACGTAATCTAGGCCAGATCCTGAGACTTGGCTTTGTCTTTTTGCACATAACTGCGTGCTGACACCAAAATAAGAAGTCAACCTTAAGGCCTTTGAAAAAACCGAGGTCATCATTTACCCAGGCTTCCATTTCCATTTACCTCTCTCTTGACCCATGTAAACTTGCCAACTCATCCTTTCTTTAATTTATGCTAAGTACTCAAACATTTTAGCATTTCTATGAACAGAAGAAAAGTAAGGGTAATGAATATGAAGTGATACCAAAATTTAAAAAAATGCATCTTTAAATGACACTCCTTTTATAAAAGACATTAACATGTAGACTATTCTGCAACTAAAACCGATACATCACCTTAAGAAATCTGATCCAAAGGCAATTGAATGTTCCAATGTCACTGTTACAATGTATAATTCATGTTGCCAGCATGACATTATGATTTAAGAGGCAAACACACTTTGCCTCCTCAGCAATTATTTTTTTAAATCATATGTGTTAAAGATTGTGTAACTGTATCAACCATTTATGATTTCTCTCACAAAAGCTTCCCAAATCTAAACATTTTCTTCAGTCTTTTTTTCGATAAATTGGCACTTAAAGTAGATGTATAATAATGTATTTTGACTACATTATTTTTTTTTAAGTAATAAAAATCAATCTGCCATATTTCCAAAGTTTTCTGAATAGGCTTAAAATGCATCTCCAGTAGTTTATGCTACTTCAGCGTTAAATAATGAGGTAGTACATTGTTCCAAAATTGTTCTGAATTATGTAAACCATTTGCTACATGCTGTTTGGACTTCATTTTTTGTTTAGAGCTATTTGGTAAAGCACTATTTTCTGTCTTCTCTGGCGTCCTGGTTTTGTTTTTCTTTTGTGGAAGCTTATTACTATAATTTATTCTTTTAGCTTTTGCCTTTTCCTCTTCCTCTCCTTCTTCCTCTTCTCCCTCATCCTCCTCTTCCTCTTCTTCCTCTTCTCCCTCATCCTCCTCTCCCACATCCCCTTCCTCTTCTTCTTGTTCCTCCTCTTCCTCTTCTCCTTTTTCTTCTCCTTCCCCTTCTTCTTCCTCTTCCTCTTTTTCCTCTTCTTCCTCTTCTTCCACTCCCTCTTCTCCCTCTTCTTCCACTCCCTCTTCTCCCTCTTCTTCCACTCCCTCTTCTCCCTCTTCTTCCACTCCCTCTTCTTCCACTCCCTCTTCTTCCACTCCCTCTTCTCCCTCTTCTTCTTCCACCCCCTCTTCTTCTTCTTCTTCCATTCCCTCTTCTTCCACCCTCTCTTCTCCTTCTTCTTTTCCCATTCCCTCTTCTCCCTCTTCTTCTTCCACCCCCTCTTCTCCCTCTTCTTCTTCCACCCCCCCTTCTTCCTCTTCTTCTTCCATGCTTCCTTCTCCCTCATCTTCTTCAACTCCCCCTTCTTCCTCTTCTTCTTCCATGCTTCCTTCTCCCTCATCTTCTTCAACTCCCCCTTCTCCCTCTTCTTCAACTCCCCCTTCTCCCTCTTCTTCTTCCTCCCCTTCCACTTCCTCATTTTCTTCCTCCCCTTCCGCTTCCTCATCTTCTTCTTCCACTTCTTCATTTTCCCACTCCTCATTTTCATCTTCTTCTCTATCCTCCCCTTCTGTTTCTGTCTCTGCTCCTTCCTCTTCCTTATCTCCTGTTTTGTCTTCCACTTCATCCTCCCCTACCTCCTTAGTCCTCTTATTTGCATCTTTCTCTTCCTGTTCTTCAGATACTTCTTCCCTCCCTGCCAATGATTCTTCTAATTCCTCCCTTTCACCCTCTTTGTCTTTTTCATTCTCACTTTCTTTGTTTTCATCTTCATTTTCCTTTTCATCTTCTTCCTCTTCTGCCTCTACCTCTTTTTCTTCCCCTGCCTCTCTGTCTTCATCTCCTTCCTCACTCTCATCTCTTCCCACACTTCTAACCTGTTCTTCCTTTTCTTTTTTGGTGTCTTCCACTTTAGTATACTCCTCTTCCATATCCTCCTTTTCCCCCTCTCTCAGCATTTCTTCCTCTATCAACCTCCATTCCTCATCTCCTTGCTCTTTGCCACCTTCCTGATTAATCTGTTCCATTTCTTCTGCAACCTCGTTCTCACTGTCTTTTTCAGCCTGTGATTCCTCTCTTTCATTTTCTTCCTCATTATGTTTTTCCTCTTCATCTCCTTCTACTGAAACTTCATCTCCATCTTTTTTAACCTCACTCTCTTCTTCTTCACTCTCAATTGTTTCATCTAGTTTTTCTTTTTCACTTTCATCCTTTTCACTGCTTTCACTCTCCTGCTCTTGATTAGATTCCTTCTCATTCTTGATTTCTAACTGTCTGCCTTCATCAGATTTACCTTCAGAGTTTGTTTCTTCCTCATTCAAGCTTTTTATATAAGTCTCTTCTACATATTCTTTCTCACTGTTTGCAGCTTGCATCTCCTCAATCTCATTATCTTCTAAGTTCAAATCTTTCACATCTTTTATTGTTTTAATGGCCTTCTGGACCTTCCTGCCTTCATAGTATTTCTCATCTTTTTCCCTCCTTTTAAGTACAAATTTTGCAAGATCATTACTATTTTCCTCAGTTGAAAATGATGACACAGATATTTGTTTCAAAAAATGAACATTCTTTTTAAACCCTCTCTGCTTTTCACTGTTTCCTTCTCCTCTGACACATATTCTTTCACATTTATCAGATTTTCCAACAACATCCTTTATTCTGTTTTCACTTTCTATTGCTTCTTGACTTCCTTGCTTTTTAACAGAGCAGTATTTTTGTGCAACTACTGAATCAGTCTGGGGCTGATCTCTGGATGCAGGAGGAAGTACACTGATTTTTAGGAATTGCTTAGATTTAATAGCTTTTGACTTGTTATAGGAAGAATTTGTTCCTTCAGTCAGAATTTGCTTTTCAGTGGGAAGATCCTCTCTGACAAGTTCATGATTTTCCGCATATGCTTTTTCCCTTTTCACCAATCTGTGTTTGTCCCTACTGATTTGTTGAACACCACTTTTCAAAGTACCAACAGTTTGTGCATTCCCAGATTTACCTTCCATTGTATTTTTTTTGGCCACTGGCTTCCCCACAAAGGCACTACTTTTTTCCAAGTCTTGCCCTGGTAACTCTGAAAGTGAAGACTGCTTTTGTAAAGAGCCAGAGTCTAATTTTGACCCTTCCTTCACTAAATCAGAATCTTTGTTTTTCAGCCCACCCTTACCATCTCTTTTCAGTTTCACATTTTTATTGTTCTTCTATTCCACATGAGAAGCAGAAAATTAAAAAGAAAGAAGGAAAGCATTAAAGACAAATGACAGCAAAAGAAAAAGGTTACAAAAACATCTGAACAAGAGAAGAAAATTTGTGTGAGCAAACTAAAAGATGGCATAGAACGTACAGTATTTCACATGAAACGAATTTACAACTGCCCGTACTAGAAGAATGTAACATTCTCTTGATGGTAAATGTACTGCTACACCTTTTTCACTATCTAAGTACTCAAAGTGAATGCTTCAGACAATATCATGTCCTATAAGCTAAAGAGCATGCAATGCATGAAGTTGTGTGAACAAAAGGGAAAACTGCAGCTCCCTTGTACCTTCCTCCACCTTTCCCCTTGGGAAATCTTTTGATATGCTCACTTTTATGCTCCAATAAATTAGAAAATTTGCTGTCTTTCTACTTTAAATTTTATACTTATTTAACAAATTCTGCAAAATAATTTTCAAATAAAAAATTACAATGAAATATACAAAATGATAAAATGCTGTGATCATTTTAGGAGTCAAATAGAAAGGTAATACAAAAGCATTTTAATTTCATAATTAAAATCAGTATTATTGTTCCTTTATATATATCCTATGGTGAATATCTGTAAATAAAATCTTTACATTGTGTCTCAGAAGTCAATGAAAATATTTTAATATCAACAAAACCAGAGATATGTATGTAATCAGCTTAATTTACGAAGTGTGTACGATCGATTTTCGCTCCTTAACTGATGAAGTATTATATACTCCCATCTTAGACTATGCTGAATACTCTTATGTGCCTGCACAAATTCTCTCTGGCTTCAGTCAGCTTCTTAGGATTTTACCTTGTGGATATTCAAAAAATCAGCAAGAGGGGGCCTACAAAATTTGCTCAGCTTTTTTAAAACTCAAAGCAAAACAATAAAGTACAAGGATAATACAAGAATTACAGATCTTTTATACATCGGTATAAGTATACAGATATATATATATATGATTAGTTACGGTACCTTTTGTTTCTGGAGTGGTGATAATTTCAAGGACTGGTCACTGGGATTCAATTTCATTACATGTGTCTGCAAAAAATAAGATCGATATTAAAAGAAATAAATATGACTAATAGGGAAAGCAGCATGAAAGCCCAATTCTACTAAACAGGGCTTCAGACAAATCTGTAAAATCACATAACTATTTCACTTTCACTCCCTCACTTACTGCATAACCAGCTTAGATGTCAACATCTAAACTGTCTCTAGAGGCTAAAATCTACCTCTCTTATAGCCCATAAGTGCATTTTAGATGCACTGTGTACTCACCCTTAATTGCGGCTAAAAATATAATGCCTTACTCCCTCATCATCACAACCTGCAATATAACATCCAGTTTGATACTACAGCCTTGATAGAACATTGTTAAAGAAACATTACATAGAATAAATTTTCACTGGAATCCAATCTTACTCTTCTACATAAGGCAAAAAACGAAAAGGCAAGGCAATGTAGAATACTACTAGGTGGGCAAGTAGAGTGAGATTTTGGTCATCCCTTCCCATATACTCGAAACAACAAGGAAATGTTCTCTGATGCTGTTTGTTAACTGTTTATGGTTTAATAACAATACTCTTTTTCAACACAGTGAGGATAGACAGTTTAGGTTTTGACTCCCAAGAATTTGTGTGGTCAATATGCTATTAAAGGTTTTTCCTCCTCGTCACATCAATAAGATGTATGTTGCCACAGTTTAGAAAAAATGAAACTACACTGCAGCAGATTATTTCATTCAGATTCAAGAAGAGCAGTTCTTTTATTTTGTGTTTTGAGAAGTTTGCCTGACTTTTTAAAATTTTATTCTTTCATTCTGATTAATGTTTTAAAATTGATTCACAATGCACTTAAAACCAAAAAAGTCTAGCACATAAGGTGTGCAATAAATTACAAATAAATGTCTCGCTAAACTAATAAAGGCCACGTTGTACATTATATCTAAAACTAATTTTTTTCTTGTAAAAGAAAGTTTTATAACTTAAATGGTATGCACTGATTGTTAAATTACTAAGTACAAACAAATACTTATGTTAAGTACAAAAAAGTAACAATTCCTGTGATAAGTGCAATCCTTTTAGCGTAACTGACAACATACTCTGAGCCAGCACCACAGTGGGTTCCTCATTTGTTTTCATTCCATTGAAGTTAAAAAAAAAACCAAAACCAAACAACAAACACAACATCTTTTCAGTGCAGTGCATTAAGACCAGGACATGCCCTATCTGCCAAGAGAACAAAATGTTTTGGAGAGGTGCACAACTGATAAGGTGAACATATTTTTTAAATAAAAGAAATATGTAGGAACATGCTTGGGAATCACAAAATAACCAAAATGTCTGCATTTGGGTCTTCCCTTTAATATGATCCACCTGTACTAAATAAGCTCTTCTTGAAAGAGGAAAGGACAGATTTCTGCTTAATTTCCTGCAATTCTGTCTTGGAAATCCTCAAGAAAATGAAGGTCAGAGATAGAGATCACCATGTGGTATCCAGTGTCATTGTTTTCTTTCCAAGGTAAAGAGGAGGGAGGGGCTGCACTACCTGGGGCTGCTTCAATCTCTTATTACAACATTCCCTTATTACAACTTTACTTGGAAAATAAAATCAAACTTTAGCATTGAATAATGACTGTATGAAACGCATGCTCATTTAACAGTGTGTCAGTACCTCTTGGTGTCACATAGGATGTTCTGGGCTAGCCATGAGTTCTGCACTAGAATTTGAAACATAATTTAGCTGCTTTATTCTTTCTCTGCATAAAAATGACTGAATCACAAATTCTTTAGTGGAATATATTACCATATTTAGGATGTCAGTTGTATCTCCAAGGTTTCTGTCATTATTTTCATTATCTGAATCTTCTTCTGCAGAGCGTTCACCGGGTTTATCCTTCTGATGATTCTTTTTCTTTACTTCAAGGTAAAATAGGGGGAAGTAAACAAATACCATAGGAACAAGCAATATGTAATCAGCAGAACACCCCATTCTTGTAAAATAGATTATCTCTATTTTACTGACACAGGACTGAAGTCCTGAGATTCCTGATTCCTCCAGCTTAAGATATCGCAGAAACACTTCCAGTTTTCATCAGTATTAACATCAAAGGTAGCTCAGCAATGTGGCTTCAGTACACTGTAGATCTCTGACCATTTTTGCAGGCTTTCAAAGCACAAATATTACATGGGACAAAGTTTCTTTTGGATGATCTTTTTAATAATAGTGTACCACCTAGACTAAATTAGCTGCAGTCATCTACATTAAACATTGTCTGCATAATGGATGGAGAGACAGTGAATTTAAATCCAAGGCTGCATCATAAAAATGTACCTATATCACTTTCAGGTTCACCTCAAGTTCATCAGGTAGATGACCAATTTCATATGGCACATAGGCCTCAGAAGATTCTAAGGGCAATTTAAATTTCACCGCATTGCTTTCTTAGAACCAGAAATGCTAATGGACATGGTGGCAGCTTTATAAATAATAATCTTAATTCTAACTGAATTAATTACTTTCATATTGGATTTGACTGTCCAATAAGTCTGAGCTAACTTTTACACAGAGCAGTGCATTCTGCACTCTAGCATCGCTCTTCCTGGGAAATCACACATGCCCAAGAATCCAGATAAAGTCAGAACTGCTCTAGAGAATCTGTTTGTTAAGTCCAGTGCTGTATCAGTATCATTGTTATGTAGACTTTGCATTAGCCAGGGTATTGCAAGTCATTATTATCTTAGATAACAGAGAGTGAAGAACACTTTTGCACTTCTTCACTTCCAAGTGATGAAGAAAGATGCCATAAGAATTAGTAGACCCAAGGTCTCTTGTAGGCCCTTCTGGGTTTTCAAGATTGTTCCTAATCAATTTTTTTCTGTAATTTTTTTTTTTTTTGTGAAAATGGAGGAAGCGGTTACTAATCTCACAGTGGTTTTGTGAAGTTCTATTTCTACAGAAGAAACCACAGGTACAATTTAGAAGTTGTTTCTCTTTCACTCAGCCCTCATCTAAAACTTTGAGTACATTTTCCAAACATGAACAGAGTGAGGCAATGTCTTGTATGCATTTCTCAACTTTCATGTCTGTATTCTGACAGATCCTACTGAGGCAAGACTGAATTTAAACCTTCTTTCAGGTTCAAACTGAGCATTTGTTTATGAATGATGAGAGCCAAACCACATAATCATCCGAAAACAGCTGCAAGATATGGGGACACTTCACCTTTTTTATGGCGCCTGTGCTTCCTAAGTTCAGCTTTAGGAAGATCTGTTGCAGAAAACCAGAATGGACTAGTCTTGCTTGTCACAGGTAGTGAAGATTTTAAGAAGCTTTCTCCTAGTGGAGGCAGAGTTTGTGTCATTCGACTAAACTGCTCTGGTGACTTTTCCTGCAGAAGATTAAAAAAAACTTACATTGAGAATAAGAGCAGAAGAATAAAATGTAAGCAACCTTTCAGTATTTCGTTTTAGTTGATGATACAGTGTTGTAACTTTGTATGGGAAACATAAACCAAATGTCTTTGATATTTAAATTATTTACAGTCCTAAAAAGTGGAGAAGTATTGTCCAGGCTTTGGCTGGGATACAGTTAATTTTCTCCCTAGTAGATGGTGCAGTGCTGTGGTTTGGCTTTAGTTCTAGAACAATGCTGATAACATACCTATGTTTCAGTTGTTGATAACTAGCGCTTACCCTGATCAGGGTAAGGACTTTTCAGTTTCTCATGATCTGTCAGTGAGGAGGAGCACAATAGCCAGGAGGAAGCATAATAGGTATATAGTGGGGGGATATTTTAGGTCTCCGCACAATAACCTCAAGCAGCCTTAAAATACAGACAAAGGAGAAAAAGAACTTTGATTTTTACTTAAAATACTAGCATCTCAAGTAATGTTGAAGTATTTATTCCACAACATCAATACAGTTTTACAAAATAAATGTGGCTTTGTGGTAGTTTTGTGGTAGCCACATAAATGTGGCTCTGTGGTAGAGACAGGTAAGTGAAATCATCCAACTCATGCCGTTCAATGAAATCGCACGGAATGTGTAGCTGAGAGAAAGGAGAAGCAACTACAGGGTCTTAGGATCATTTTAAGCTGATTGGAAACTTTCTCCTTTGATATCTTATAAAACTGTGGGCTTTTTTAATACATTCAAGGACTCAAAGGGAACAACAAAAAGAGTTTCTTGCTCCTTTTAAAAATATTTCTAACATGCTAGAATTTAAATACAAAATCAATTTGATTCTTTTTCATAGAAATAAACAAGCAAAATCTGACCAATGCCTATCTTCTATCTGCATTCAATTTTGAGACCGGAATAGATATTCATTCTTCTTTTTATACATTAAAATTATACACATAATTTTACATTTGTGTGTATATTTACATTTACATACATCAAGAATACATTTATCTGCTGGGTATACATTGTGACTTTAAAAGTGACTTTATTTCCTAATAGAACTATGGCAAGTCTAAACAGCTCTGAATTTACCCTCTCTCGACGTCGCATTCGTGCTGATGTTAGTTGTAAGGTGTTTGTTAGTAGTAAATCTCCACTTATTTTAGAGATTGTAGCAGTCAAAGAGCTTTCATGTAAATCTTCTAAGAGCACTTCTTCAAATCCTTTAGGTCTTGGAGCAGCAAAAACTAGCATGTGACAACCACCACATGCAACCTACAGCACCAAAAGAATTATCTGATTATTTCATTAGCAAGAATCAGTACAGGAACCCCATTTTCTTACAAACATCTCTAGGGGTTTAGAGTGTAAGAAAAACATAGTGAAAATAAGAGACATTAAATAGCTTCAAATCTAGCTCCAAATGATGTTAGCAAGATAAAAGTACTTAATTATGCTTATTAATCACTAGAGATCTATGTTCACTTCTTGCTAAAATACAATATATTTGTATTGAACAGAACTCAAGATAGGTCAATTAATAGAGAAGAAAGCAAAGATATTTCAACTGTTTTGAAGGGATTTGTGATAACTATTTTTATGCAAGTTAAATGTGGGCAACACTGATAGCTTCAGTGATACAAACCTAGGTATTTTATCCTAAAATCCATAAAAAGTAAATCAAGTCCTACACCCTCCAACAGACAAAGTATTATTACATAAAGATCAGAGGTTTCAATTTAAAAAGTTTAAAACCCTCACCACTTCTGATAAAATGTCCTTTAAGTCCAATAAACAAACAAAAGCGAGCAACAGAATTTTGCTCCAAATTTTGCTCAATCCTGAGTCATGTTTGCATTTCTGATGCTGGCAATTCTGTGACATTTATTTCTTAAAATACCTCAAGAAATAGATTAAAATAATGCCATAAAGAGAAAAGAGTATTTCTGCTTTCTCATCCCATTTGGATTAAGAAAAGCAACTCCTCCAATTTTTCTAAGGTTTAAAAATATCCCATTGTACAAATCATCTTTAAAATTAAGAAGCTGACACACTGGTGTTTTCAGAACAGATACGAGTTTCCCCCTACTGCCAACAATCCCAGAGCAATAGGTATATAAATAAAATATTTAATTTTATAGGCTGGCACAGCTCTACAGACCAGAACACTACCAAATAAACCCCTGAAAAGCAGTCTAGATGTGTAGTCCAAGCCAAATAGATTCTAAACTAAATGAAGAATGTGGTGAGAAAATATGATTTCCTTTTTATTTAAACTTGTGTTGTCTACTAATTAAATGCCATGGAAATAAATATTCTATAATGAGATTTCAACTGTCATTAATAATATTTCATAAAAAGATAAATGTTTTGATGTCTGAGAAGCATGAACAGGAGTTTTACCAAAAGGACTGTGAACTTCAAGAAATTATAACACAGAGTGGGGTCAAACTGATTTGTAAAATTCTCTTCTCCAAGGCCTAACTTGCCGTGTCGCCCATCTCCAAAAGTAAACATGAGGCCATTCTCTGTATGTGGGAAAAAAAAGGGGGTCTTATCAATAACAAAGATTTAAAATACAATTAGGACGAAAGCATCACAAACGAAGTAACAGCCCATGGAAATAAGGAATGTTTTTCTTCCAAAAGCAAACACTGAACAATTTTTTTTAGATTTTCAAGAGATGAATATGATAAAAAAATATACATATTTTCAGGCAAAGTACTGCCTGAGATGAGAGTTAGTCTGGATAATTTGTAAAACAAATCCTTGTTAGCAAGGTATGATAATGAGATTATAAATCCCCAGGAGATATTGTATACAGAGTTATGCATGGCATGGCTGTGGATCTGGTTTTCTCACCTGTTCACTTGACTTTTTGAGCTAGTAAGTTTGTATACGTCTTCTTCTACTGCTCATTTTATAAATAAAGCCTTTACAGTGTAAGAGGGAGTCACTGGAAGTGCATTTCAGATTTTTTCATTTACATACCTGCTATTACAGCAGTATGATTTTCCCCACATGTAATGTTACATATTTTATACCTCCTCAAGTGTTTCACAGACTTCGGTACTGAAGTTTCAAAAATAAAAGTACCATGTCCCAGCTGCCCATGTTGTCCAAGTCCAAAAGTATATACATTTGTCTCTGAAAATATACAGCAAAAGTTAACAATAAATATGCTGACATATATATTATAACCTGCTTTCTATTACCCAAATGGAAGTCAAATTACATCACCATCAAAAAAGCAATGTTTTATGAATTAAATGTACCAACTAATCAATACATTTATCAATTAATAATAAAATGCAACAAAATAAAAACCAGGAAATTAAGTATTAAAATAAATACACAAAAGAATCTTTAATTGTTCAATATGCAATATATTTTCTAACATACCTGCAAAATAATCCACTTATCACATGTACACAAAATATTAGCTAATAAAAAATTTTATGGGAGTCTATGTAATGCAATTAATTCAAGACCATAGTGTTTATACACGTCAGCACTTTCAAGTACAGTAATCTCATCCTAATTTCTGGTTACAAACATCTACACTGTCTGACCCTAAATTTAATAGGTTAGGCCTCTTTAAACTGATATTAACTTGTGCATATAGATTGGAACAATAACAATTATTTAAGTGTTCTGATCAGCTACCAAATCAGCCCTGCATTAAATACAGAGAACACTATAATTGTCTTATCTTGTGACAGAATAATCACCTTTCCATATTTTGTCTGTTTAATGGACTCTTTGTGCCAGGAAAGAAAAAAGAACTTCTTCAAAGCAATAAAGATTCCTGCTGTGTCCATTTCTGGCACTGCATCACAACAGGGGAGACTGTAAAGCTTGGAAGTCTTGATGAGGTCACGCTTGAAAAGATAAATTCAGACACTAAGATTTTTTGGGAAAAGGAAAAGTTTCTCCTAGAACTGTATTTCCTGCCCCCTTCTTTTCTGCAGGTAGGCAGCAAGAAAAGCTGGAGAAGTACTACTTAAGGTACTTGAAAAATTATTATTAAAACCTGAGAAAACTGGGAAGAACAAAAAATATTCTACTTCAAGCAAAAAGAACTGAGACCTGGGAACAATGTGTCATTACATCATTGTTATGAACATAGTGCAGAGCATGCCTGCTCCTGCTGCACAGACACCACCAGGTCAAAAATCTCACCATGTACAAAAGCGAGGAATGGCCATTCACAGTGGAATGTGCGGAACAACAACTGGCAGAGAATCTGCTTTTTAAGAACTTCTTTATATCAAGGAAACAAAGCCACTGGAATAGCAAAGTAAGTTTCAGTGCCACAAAAGTAATTTATACCGTGTGACCAAATTCTCAGAGCAGCCACAGAGTGGAGAAAAATTAAAAACAAATTATGTTACCATTCCTTCAAACTAATCCTTCAGCACTGTCAGGGAAAGGGAAAGCAGAGAACAGACCAGATTCCATATCCCATTACACACTTACTAAACTTTCAAAGGAACCATGACGAAATATTGTAACAGTAGATATGGAAATATTCCTTCTAGGAAAGAGTTTGCCTTTTCTGCCCCCTTTAAGTTGTTCCACATTAACATGCCATGAATTCACACCATAAAAAAAAAAAAAACAACGGTTTCACACAAAAGTGATTGCGGATGACTTTTTCTAACTAAATACAACAGTAAAGCTCCCTCTGCTGGCAGTTTCAGTGCTTTCAGTGCAAGAAAGCAACTCCTCAGGATCTTAGTAAAACAAGAAGAAATTTTATGTAACATTTAGACTTCTGCATAAGAATCAAGAAACTACACCTGAAAGACAGGAGCTTTCTTTAAGCAAACCAAAGTCTCATATTCATTTTAGTAAATTACTTTCTCAGGATGGCTGATCCCTTAAATTCTTTTTGGAGTACTGTGTTTGCCGTAAGATTTCTACGGAAACTGGCCATTTTCAAACTGTATGGCTTTACCTGATTAACATAATTATTTTCAGGGAAAATAAAAAGTGGGGTTCTTTTCCCACATTATCTGTAGTCCTACCTTGAAACAATGCCTTCTGAACTTGTGTTAGAGTGAGCTGCTCTCAAATGCTAACTTGAAAAGTACAGGAAACTATTTTCTCTCCTCTGTTTCTACTGACAATGAGAATGGGCCAACCCAAAACCAGGTTAGAGGCACCTAAATTTTGCTCCTCTTTAATTTGCTTATTGATCAGTCCTCACGGCACAAGAAGACAAAAACTGTGCACATTCCTTAAATGATTCACCTCTCTGTGAAGAAGTGAGGCCAAACTTCAGTAATCATCTCATTTAGCAGAAATTACACATTTCCTCCAACTTGTCTTTATAAATGCCGAAGAAGAGAAGTCTATGGCAAAGCAGTCTTACAAACTAGGTGATAAAATGCCTCTCCTCAGTCTCCCCTTGCCCTGCCTCTGCTGTCCACTTGGCTTTGCGGTAAGCCAGCTCAGCAGGCCAGGTTTGGGGGGAGTTTGCCATAGGAAACTATGGAATGGTCAAGGAGGCAGTGCCACAGTGGTACAAGGGGAGAGGAAAGACTTCTGGCCACATCAGCACACGGGAAGCAGCACTGCCTCCAATGCATCACAAGGAAGGCTCAGCTGTATTAGCAGCATCCAGAAGAAAAAGCAGAAGTCCCATCTTAGCCTCCAGGCAGGAACTGCTGTCTCCACAGCATGAGAAGGACCCTTGAAGAACAGAAAAATGGTTCAGAGCTTGTACAGAAGCCAGTGGCTTCATAGTTCCAAGTGACCTCCAGCACTTGAGTGCTACGACTGCTTCTCCTTTACTTCCTACATTTTCTCTTTTGGAAGAACAGGGATATTTCCCTCTAACTGTATATCTTCCACCTTTGCAGGTATCTTCTGAAGTACTTAACAGTTTTCTAATCTCCATGAATTTTTTTTATTCTGCCAATGGGCTATTCACTCTTACAATAGTTTTATTTTTAAACAGCTGAAAAAAGTTACTGTAAAAATCCATTGTCAACACAATACTCTGTTTTACCAGAGTTAGTAACTGGATTTGGGGATTTCGGTATAAACAGTATATAGACTTAAGAATGGTTTGAAAAATCTAGATAATCCTATATGGTTTGAACAGTTCTATCATGAAAAGGAGGAGCTTTTTCATCCTTTTCATCCTCTTTCAAAAGGGTATCTTGACTTTTTAAAAGACATGGAGAAAGAAGATGAAAAATCCAACATTTTACATACTAACACACAAATGTGCTGTATCGGTATGTCAAATGATCTATTCTTGAAGGACTGCTTCTCTTTTTCGTTTGAAGAGATATCTCTGCTTTCCCTCCTTTCAAAGGATAAAAGGACGTAATATATCCTTTTATAGACAGGCTTATTCCCAGAGGATCTGCCATCATCTGAAAAAACCTGGAAGATACTAAGCCCACTCCCAATCATCTGCTGCTTCTTCTCAAATTTCTAGATTCACAAATTATTATTATTGTACCTTCTAAAAAGCTTTACTGAAAAAGTTTGCAAACTGAGATTGCTGCTCTGTCATATTTTTTTTTTTGAAAGTGACAATGCCAACAGCTTCCATTTTCAGTAGGAAGCATTTACAAATGTTGCGGGAGGTGGATGCATTTTCTTTTCAGTCTCTGAGAGAAGTCACCTGGGATGAAGATATGATCTTCTTGAACTGATAGACTGCTCTGAAATGAATGTTTGTGCAGCTACAGGGAGAGAAAGCTTTTACACAATAGGATTTTTAACTGTAATTCTGCTTATTCTCTAGAAAAAAACTGCAAATACTAAAGGCAGAAGGACAAATAAGACTTGTAAAGAAGATGGTTTCCAATACCATATTCAACATTTTTAAAACCTTGTATCTTTAGAAAGGTTTTTTCCAAATCTTTACTCTCAACAGTTTAATTTTTTTGTTCTCTCTGAAAAAAGATTGAGTTTCCCATTTTGGAATCTCAGGAAAAAAAAAAATAAAATAAATAAATTAATACATACTTTCTACCATTTATTCTGTTACTTGCTGGAGAGATTCCAAACAGTAGCTTGATTTAATAACCCAAATGGTCAGTGGTTCTGACCATACAAAATTGCCAACAGAATAGATAAGACAGCCATAAAAGAGAAGTCAAATGAAGTGCTTTGGAATAGACTAATTACGTATGAGAGTCAGGAAGAAACTTGCCTCATACTCAGTAAGATAACTGCATTATGCTTTCTTCTAATTCGATAAACCCGAAGTAGAACTGATGACAAGAAATGAGCCAAGATGCGCAACAGTTTCTCCATATGACATTTTCTCCTAACCTTTTCCAGTGTTAAATGAGATAGATAAAACAGGGGAACATACAGTAGTCAGACACTCACTTCTAATTTTTTAAAATAAAAATGACACATCCTGAAAAAATTGAAAGTCCCTGAAAAAAATGAAAGCCGCATCTGTATATACCATGTTACTAAAGCCAAACAGCACCCATTTTCATGGAAGATGATACACAAAGTTCAGAATTTTTTCAAAATTGCAGTACTTTCCTAATTTAGGAAAATGAGCTTCAAAGAGGCATAAATATTTCTGCTCCTCTTTAAAGCTATATTCCCTCATCAGAATTCTGAATTTGTGGTCACATCATTTAATCTCAAGATGCAATATACACTTCAGTACTGATTTCAAGTTAAGTTTCTGGTGCAAAGCCTGTAATGCACGTATGCTACACTCACTTTTTCAGTTATTGCAGTGTCCAAATGCATATTTTTTCCAAATATTTTCCCCAAAATTTTGAGTCAGAAAATTTTCTGTATGGCAACATTTCTTACGAAGTATCTTTTACTTGAGGCAGTATTTCCATTTTCTGTTCAAAGTGTCTTAGGTAGAAGTTCACAGCTGTAGCCTATTTAATAATAGCTGAATCACACTAAAAAAACACGTTTATCTGACCTTTTATCACAACAACTATTAATCATTAGGAAAATGTATGTTGTTGGAGGATATTGTTTTCCTCTCCTCTGGACTCAACTGGATCTTCTGGCACTCAATGCTTTGATCATCAACTACCAGCTAAGCCAGCACTGGACTTGTCTTCTATTACAAATCTATTTCCATAGACAAGTAAACCTTGCATACTAAGACACTGACTTACTGTCACGGTTTAAACCCAAGACACTATGTTTCGTTCTTCACTGTATTTGTTTCTTGACATTAATATTTTGCCTTTTTGGTTTAGCTCTTGTACATGTTTCACTATAATAATGATGTCATCCAGGTCTACATCTTCATACTAAATCTCTGCAACAGTCATTTGTTATAATGAAATTTTATCTCAAGAAAACATATTAAAACAAAACATCTCGTAGTTGGCTGCAGATTTATGGTTAATAAAATAATCAATAATTATAATCAAATTATTTCTGCAGAATTTCACTTTATAACCCATGAAATAATGCTATGCTTTATACATTTTCTGGCCCCAAATTTATGTTTTTTTTTTTCCTAATAATGATAATGTGATTTTATGTAAAGAAATTCATTTTATGACATAGAATACTGCCAGGGTAAGACTGTATATAGGTGGAAGAGAGACAAAGGCATTGAAATGTAGACAAATGTTTTCATTATTTGCTGGATTGGCTACTGTAGTTTTCTCAAAGGAGTTTTAACCTACACAGAGTCTTGCAACTTGAGTCACTGTTACACATACACTTTCCCAGCACATCACTTCCACCTTTACTCTTTCCAGTGGCTTACAGTACAATACCACATAATATTACTTACAATCTCCCTCATTTGGATTTTCAGTTTATATTTTAGAAATACTGGTTACATTACCTTGAAGTCACACCACCAGATTGCCAAAAGATGACTATTTAGCATTTTCAAAATATAGATTTGAGGACTGGTATCTATACATTCTCCTTGTTTATATAGCTTTTGCATTTTGTAGGAGATTAATTACAGACATATCATACAGCTGTGGAATTCATTACAAGCCAAAGTCAAACTTCCCTTTCCTGCTTCTATACTACTGTAGTTCAGGACAGAATTCGTGGAAATAAATAGCTATCAATACTCCACATATCTCTTTGAAAAGTTATTTTTCCATTGACACACAACCATTTAATAGTACAATAATATACAACCTCTTCCAAGTATTATACATACTACACTGTGAACTAATATGCAACAGTTGTATTTAAATGTATATATACAAGTTATAAAAATCACCAATGTCTATATCTGTCCTAGTTTGCATGCATGCTAAAGATTCTGCTCAAAGTCATGGGTAAATTCTGTATCATGAGATAACTTAATCCATTTAGGAATCTAACTGATTGTGCATCTCCAACACTATTAACTATTTGACAAGTGACTTCCTAAATAGTCAGGGTCATTAAAATTTACTAGAGAATGTAAGCTTTCTTCTAAAATTTTCCTCTTCACACCGATACCACTTTCAAAACTCCTTAGAGGAAAGGAACATCAATCATCCTTGCTGCACTAGGAGATGCTGGCTTGTTACAATTCCAGTAACTCAGACTCTCTAAAGTATCTCTTAAAATGCAATTTATTGGAGCTAAAAATATAAAGAAAAAGAAAATGTTATCAATAATCTTATATCCATTCAGATGCCCGGAATCCTGAGCTGTGTGCAACTGAACAGGCCTCCTGCCAGGCACAGATCCCATCCATGGAAGGTTACCCCATTTTGGTCATTTGAGCTCTTACAGGATTTTCTTACAAGCAAAATAACTCTACTCATCACTTATACTGTCAAATAAAAAGGACATTCACACGGGAACTTGCTGCTGAAATTTTAGATAAAGGCAAGGACACACAAGTAGTCGTTGCTGCTACCTACTTGGTACTGTACTGCTTGGTGGAGTAAGATCCTCCTACAATTAGCTGGCTAAGTTTATCTAGCAGACAAAGGATATGCGCAACACAGGCATGAACATCAAACTACATGTGCAGCACAGTATAGGCCTGCACTTAGGTTAACTGTTACATGGATTTCTACCTCTTTGATGTACAGTGGTCTTCCAGTTAGGATCACTTAACATTTAAGATCACATCTTACATTTCAGTGGGATTTAAATTCTTTCAAGTGAATTGAGTTTACTGCTTAAGTTATAGTGCTGTAAAAAAAGACAGCTAAATTGCATACCTGTAAGCACCACAGTATGTTCTCCACCACAAGCAACCTTATTAACCTTTTCCACAATTCCCATTACAGGCTGTGGGACTCTATTGTTCTTCAGTTGTTCAGGCATTAATCCCAGTTTCCCATTCTCAGGTTCTCCAAAAGTATACAGCTCACCATCTCCTGTGAAAATACAAAACAGAGCAGGGTTTCCAGCATGGACTCAGAAGCAAGGATGCAAAAGACCGCTGCAGATACACATCAGTACGATAGAGAAGTGTATGAACATTAAGGGATAATTGAGCATTACTTGTATAATTTCCAAACAGCTGTGCAAAGCAGTCTGCTTTGATGGGACAAGGGGCTAAATTTTATCCCCATCCAAGATGAGAACCGCAATATCTACCTGCAAGCAATCTAGTCTGCTATGTAAGTCTGAATTACTATTCAGGACAGCATTGTATATATCCTTCTACCATACTTAAAACTGGAAAATGTACTTTTGTCCTGGGTTCAGCAGCAGCAGTCATTTTTCTCCTTCTTGGTAGCTGGTGCAGTGCTGTGTTTTTGACTTTCAGCCTGGGAACAGCGCTGATAACACTGATGTTTTTAGTTGCTGCTCAGTAATGTTTACTCTGACCAAGGACTTTCTGAATCTCATGCTCTGCCAGGGAGGAGGGGAAGCTGGGAGGAAGCAGAGACAGGACACCTGACCCAAACTAGCCAAAGAGGTATTCCATACCACAGCACGTCATGCCCACTATATAAACTGGGCACAGTTACCCAGAAGGGTTAGATCACTGCTCGGTCAGGCTGGGTAGCAGTTGGCAGGTGGTGAGTGGTTATATTCTCTTCCCTTGTTATTTCCCTTATCATTATTATTATTGGTGGAAGCAGTAGTGATTTGTGTTATACCTTAGTTACTGGACTGTTCTTATCTCAACCCATGGGAGTTACATTTCAGGAGTGGGGGGAGGAAGGGGGGGGGGGGTGAGCAAGCAGCTGTGTGGTTCTGTGTTGCCGGCTGGGCTTAAACCATGACAGTTCTTTTTGGCACCCAACGTGGGGCATGAAGGGTTGACATAATGATAGATCTGACTGGAGTGTGTCTAAGTGTATTTGTGATAAGCATTTATTGTTTTGGATTAATAGTCACTTGTCACAATGCTGATTTATTGGCTCTCAAAATGGTTGCTCTTGATCTCGGAGTTTCAGCATGTCATATCATTGCTATATTTACAATTTATGTACTTTATCTATATGTTACACATTTATCTAAATTTCTGATTTTCTGTCCTAAGGGTTCCCAGCTATTCTAATAGGTCAGAATGAGGGTTACATAAAAAACATTTCCTTATTCCCAGGAAAGCATCAAGTTAATAGCCAAGTGTTTTCCACTCCTGAAAAAGATTATCTGTGGGGTAGTGTCCGCATAGCAAATTGCGGCCCACAATTTGAAGTTGCAATTAATTACCAAAATAATCATCATACACTACTATGTAAAATTTGGGGTTTAATCCCAGTTGGATATAAGAAAGCACAAGGACAAACAAAACTCTCACACGGAGCTAGTCCAAGATAAAGAAAGGTTTAAACTAGTGTAGGAGCTGCCTGCTAAAGCAAATCCTAAAAGATAGCTACCATTACATAATCAATGTAGTAACAAACCCCAGGCGTACACTCCATTATTATTTTTGGAAACATGCAGATTTGTACTTCAGTACAAACTGTACGTTTTCTTTCAGAAGGATACTTTAAGTGCTCACGTATTTACTTTTACAGCATTTAGAGGCATTACTACCACATGATGAACAAGTATCTGAGAGAATCAAAGACTGAGAACCTACCTTCAATGGCACAATATTTATTTGACAAGCTTATAAGACTTAAGACATTTATCTGCTGCCCCAGATAATTTTACATGGTTTCTGTATTTTCCAAGTTCACTTCTGCCTCTCACAATGGTACAGTCTTCAAGTACCATGCTCTTGCCCACCCAGGTTAGCAACTGAACTTATTTTTTCTACTGAGTACCCTAACTGCACAGAAAGGCTATTAGGAAACGACAGTAATACAGTCTTACTGAATGTCAAGCTTCCTGCAGGGTTTCACAGGGCTCAGGCTATTAAAAGTAGCCACTCACAATCTATTCACAGAACTACCTTCTCTTCAGCAACACAATGAAACAGGATAGCAGCAGTATCTCCCAACTATCATCATCAGAGATGTAACCTCATCCTGCTACCTCTTTATTCTTTTCTATCATTTTGACATTCTCTTTCCTGCACACAAAAACTATCCCAATAAGAACACTTCATTTACCTGCATGTATCTGTGCAGAAATACCATTTTTGTATTCTTCTACACTTCTAAGAGGTGCTTGCAGTCATTTCAACCCATCTATATTTTTTAAGAAATGGCAAATCACCTCAGCTGCAGAAAATTTCATTTCATTTCTAACCTACAGACTGTGCTTAGGTTTCTCTGTTCAGTTTGATTTTCTGTTTCAGTTCTGATCTTTATTCTTATACCTACGTACAGAAATACTCTGAACAGGCTGATACTATGCAGTTATTTGCAGTAGCGGCAATTTTCTGTTCTAAAACTGTAACCCAATGAACAACAACAACAAAAAAATCAAGTCTATGTGAGGTTTACTGTAGCCAAAATAGTCTATTGACAAAAGGGTATTTTATTTGGGATTCTAAGTGAAGAGAAAGAAAAAAAATATAAAAACAAAACAAAAGAACCCAGTTTTTTTGTAAGGTAAATATTGGTTTAATACCTTGGATCTGCCACATATTTCTAGAAACAAGCTGATAACCCCCCCAAAGCACTTGGGAGTTAACTACTTGTGCAGTTCTCTTTGCAGTTCTCTTTGGAGAGACCAGCACTTCTTTTTAAATAATGCTGCACTGCAAATATTCATCTAATCACAATCTAATTAATAGGATTAGAAATCCAAATGGCCAAGCTTCCATTGACTTCCCAAACTAATCAAGTTTATCACATTTTTTCAACTTAATAGAAGATAAATGTATTTATTAAAGCAATGTTTTAATACATTATGCATCTCTTTAAAGCAAACAGTAGTCTAAAACCTACAAAAAACTGGCTATCAAGCATAAGAAGAATCCAATCAAACCCAGGTAAATTTTGAGTACAGCATGTGTGCAGCACATCTATATTTTAAAGACTTGATGTACTGTGTGCAGTATATTGCATTTTAAGGATGTTCTGTTCACCATGGAACCTGGTTATTTCATTTTCTCCTCCATATGGGTCATATGGGTCTCATGTGATGAACTTTCCTAGTGTGGCACATTTTCTGTATCACTAAACTTTAGGACACAAGAGCACATCAACAAAATGGGCAAGAGAATGGGAAACTATCTTGCCCCTCAAAGGCAGATGTGCAGACTGCACATGATACAAGATATGAGACCTGACTAGTGGCAGATAAGGGCAGCATTCTATGATCCCTTGAATAAATGAAGAGATTAAAATAAATAAAAAAATAAAAAATAAAGTGTTGGTTCAAGACCAAATTGGTTGACACCATCTCAAACACTGAAATTCTGAGCATGAAAGTGTTTGTGAATGGATGATTTTTAAAAATGGCCCTTAAAAATAATGACAAAATACATTAAAAAAGGGAATTCAAAGCTCTTTATGAAAAGACATCTTCTCAGCGAGAATCTATCTTGACTTTGTCCTTGCTTACAGTAACAGTTCAGGCAGGGGAAGCACCAGAATAGGTCTAATATATTCAACTCCTTTCTGGCTCCATGAATCTAATTCTGCTGTAGACGTCAGGGTAGTGGTTAGGTACATTGGCTTCTCCTGCTCTCCATCTCCTCCAGTGGACAAATGAGCTATATAGCTTGCTAAGCTTAATGATTTCTGAAAAACTCTGGAGTGAGTGTGGCCAGACTAGCCAAGTACAGCTCTGCACATGGATTCAAAATCCTTGCTACATTCTTTCAGCTCTTTCTTTCTCTGTTGCACTGCACTAGCTACTAAGAAGGACAAAATGAACTGTTACAGCTGAATCCAGGAAGAAGACACACCTCTGACGTAGAGACCTAACGTCCCCCGCCTGCAAAAAGAAAGGAAAGTAAACAGATGCTGGGAAAAATCCTAAAGAGGGCTGAAAACAGTAAACTAAAAACTTCATTTCAGTGGAACTGAAATGCTAAGTGGAAGAAAAGAATTCAGTGGAAGAATGCTAAGTGAGAAGAAAAGGAGCTTTCACCTTTCGAACATGAAGTGAGTAACCCTACCAGCTTCCTATTTTGCATATGGAAATGACAAGCCATTGCCTTTGCTTGTGCCTAGTTTAATTTCAGAAGTGTTTTTTATTAAAAATAATTCAGGATATATTCTGATCTTCTACCACTGCTTTTGGCATCAGTGGGGTTCATATGTACATGGTAGAATACAGGTGACTGATTACTGTCTGCAAAGAAGGCATTCTAAAAAGCAGAAGTAAAAAAAGTAACAAGTCATCCTTTTGGAACTACCAGATAAGAGACACTGCACTTGGCTTTATAGTAGTTAAACATGCCTACTAAAAAAGCTTTTTTAAGAAAAAAAAAAAAAAAGCTGGAATCCATACTTTAACACTTTTTTTCTCAATAGTTTCTTATTAATGAACACGCTGCCCTAGAGAGGGCACTCTGTGACCACACTATGTATTCTAGGACCCTCATTAGCTACCTTTCAGTTTTAACCCAGAAATGTCTGTAATCATAACAGTTTGCTTAGCCAGTATACAGCTTCTGTCAAACACAAATATATTAAGAAAGGGAACCATATGGTGCCACGATAATCAGCCCAGCCTGACAACATGTATCAAGTCCTACATCCTGCCACTATGTTTTATTCTTAAAGATAGTGAGAGTTGAGCTTGCTTATCTCAGAGAAGAGAAAACCCCAGGGAGACCTTAGGGCAGCCTTGCAGTACCTAAAGGGGGCCTCCAAGAAAGCTGAAGAGGGACTTTTTACGAGGACAAAGGGGAATGGCTTTAAACTGAAAAAGGGTAGATTTAGATTAGGAAGAAATTCTCTACTATGAGGGTGGTGAAGCACTGGCACAGATTACCCAGAGAAGCTGTGGCCACCCCATCCCTGGCAGTGTTCATGGACAAGGTTGGATGGGGCTTTGAGCAACCTGGTCTAGTGGAAGGTGTTCCTCCCTGTGGCAGTGAGGCTGGAACTAGATGAATTTTAAGGTCCTCTCCAAACCAAACCATACAGAAATACAGAATCACTTTATTTTCCAGATATTTCCTCCAAAATTTCTACTAAAAATAATGCTAATCACTCTATAGTATTTTACTGTAACTAGTATTTGCTATATCTTACATCTTGCTATATCTAGCAAAACAAAACCATACCATAATAATACATGGAAAACTACTAGTGACAGGCAAACTTTAAACATACTTCAAGGAATAATTCAGTAACTTATGGCAATTCAGAGGAAAAAACCCTATCCATGTAATATGAATATTCTGATAACTTCATAGTTATCTAGTTTGCTATGTTCTACCACCACAACAAGCAGAGACAGAATACTAAGGATGTGAAGCATTATTCTGAGCCAGTCTAGCAAGTCCTACAGGCAAGTGTTTTCCGTAAGTGAAAAAGGAATCCTAATAATTCTAAGAGAATCACCTTTTTTAAATCAAAATCTTCTAACAGTATAGTGCCTTGACTTCCTCCCTAACTAGGCTGTAAGAACAGTAAGGTAACTACATTTGTTCTTAAACACACTGCAGAACTTCAAAATTCATAATTTAATGGTTAACTTCACAGCTAAAATAATGTTTAACTACAGTACATGTATATTAAATGCACAAGATTTGTTTTTTAAACACTGTCTGGATATACATAGCCACTAGTGCAACAGAATCATAGAATCATAGAATCGTTAGGGTTGGAAAGGACCTTAAGATCATCGAGTTCCAATCCCCCTGCCATGGGCAGGGACACCTTATGCTAAATCATATCACCCAAGGCCTCATCCAACCTGGCCTTGAACACTGCCAGGGAACGGAAGATCAATTCAGTAAAAGTACCTGGATGTCCAGCACTAAATTTCTATGGCAGTTCTATGTAGTATGTTTCTATGGTAGTTTCTATGGTATCAGTCAAATAAAACTGTCAGCAAGGGCCCAAAGGAAAATAATAAATAAAAAAAATATCCTTTCCCCCCAAAAGAGGCCATCTGTGTGTCAGTAGTGTCAGCAAGATAGACTGAAGCCAATTTTGTGCAGGATTTGCAGATACTAAAGCTGAAAATTAAGGTTTTCCATCCCACACCTAGGACTGTTTAAACAGTAACAGTTCAACAAGTCACCATTTTCACAGGTGATAACCATTTCATCTTCCTATTAATATCTTAAAGAGGCTCCACTTTTCTTTCACAGCTGCTACTCTAATCCTTTTTTCTCATCCCTTTCCATTAAAGGTTTCTACTTCCTTAAAGATTTGGCGCACACCATTCTCTCCTAGCTCTTAGTCATTTGTCCTCAACCTTTCTTCTAAGGACAGCTTTTGTCACATCCTACTGCAGTCCCATCAGAGCTTTGGCTTTTGGATCCAGAGCAGAATTACACACCTTCTTACTATAACACTGAAGTAACGATATCCCCCCCACTTTTGCCGCATGTTTATTTCAAGTTCAGGAAGTTGTAGATTTCATAATAGCTCCTGATCAAACAAAGGCACCTCATTCATTTACTATAATAAAACATCTGCAATAAAAGTTGCACAAAACTAGCATAACAATATTTGTCCACCATAGGAAGTTCATGTAACAGCATGTTCTCAAAGAGCTATATAGCTATCATGCGGAAAAATAACATCTCTCAAGTAACCTGAGAAAAGTACCTGATGGAACAGTTCCTGGGTAACCATTAAAAGCTTTACAATCAAAACTACTGATCCTTTAAAATCTTTAATTACTCTGAGGGGACTAAATGGTAAAGCTCAATAATATAAATCTATAGAATTCATGGATGCTTATATGTAATACCACCAATAGTGGCTAATAAATTCACCCATACATTATTAAAAAATTGGTGGCATCATCACTTTGGAAACCAAGAGAGATGGGAAGAGAGAGGCGGAAAGCAAATAAGAGATGTGTTGGTTTGGACATATCAGTTTACTGTCACATATGCCTCTCCTCAGATTGTATGCTGCCTGTTTAACTGACTTAAAAACTTAAATTTTAAGACATAACATCAAGCTTTGACAATAATCTTGCACTGCTAGCAAATAAGATCATTTTTTGCTCAAAGCACAGTAAGTGTATTCAATATTTACATTTCTAGAGAAAATGAAAATGATTATTTGATCATGACAGAAGAAAGAATAACCTCAAAAAAAGACCGACTATTGAAACCACAGCATTAAACCATATTTGTCATAACTTTCATGAAAATAAATTGTGGTAAGATGGCTATTCTTTTTCATATACTTTCACACAATGATGTGCAAATGCAGAAAATTAACTGCATTTTCTTTCTCACAGTATTGTTAATTCAAAAATAATTATAGAATCAGAAAATCGGGTTCGAAAGAACCTTAGTATCATCTAATTCCAACCACCATAATAATAAACAAATATAGAATAAAAAATAATAAATAAATACATAATATATTACATACAAGTTCCTAAATAAATCAATGAGGACCACATTTTAGAGAACCTGTCTGGTAAAAACTCCCAATGTGATACAAAACTATATAAATGACTTTCTGCCACATTGCAGTGTTCAACAACTATGGCGCATATAGTTTCAAAAGTACAGAATGCCTAATTAGCTACCTTTACAAAGACAACAATTTAAGAACCACTGACTTCTCTCCACTAACCACTATTCCCATTCTCTTACCTGTTATCAAGGCAGAGTGATAATATCCACAGGATACAGAAGAAACAGGTTTTCCAACATCCACTTGACATGGGATGCTGACACAGGCTTCATCAGCCAAGCCAATCTGACCTTCTGAATTGTCACCCCACACAAAAAGCTGCCCATCCTCTAAAATGAAGAGTTAACAGATTTTAAATCAAAATTAGTAAAAAGTTAATATACCTATTTAAGAGCATTTCATAAACGTGGTATTAGCATGATCATACTAAATGTTATGTCCTAAGGGACATAAATGGTGTTTAGCGCAATGCAACAAAACAGTCTGAAGTAAGAGGGTATCCCTTAAGCCTTTCAAAATTGACACAGAACACAGAGTCATCATGGATGTTAGATCACAAACAGGAAAAGTACTATGCAAAAACATCCTTTCAAAAAGAGGAAGATTGAATGTATAAAACAACTAAGTTGCCAGGGGTCAGTATGAAAATACTATGGTGGATTTAAGAGATTATCTTATTTCTAGTAGCAAGTCACCACTTTCTCATTGTTCCAGGTTTATTAAGATCAGCTTTTGACACAAAGACTTACGGCAGCAGTTATTATTGGTGGGAAATTGTGAATTAAAAAATGTACCATCTACAGTGCTACTGAGATGCTGTTGGGAACTAAAATCATTCAAAGTTGACTTACAAATCTCTGGAGAATGTTAGCAATTGTCACAAAACTAACAAACAAGCAGGCTAGTGTGTCTCTCATACATTCTTATGCTGTCACATTCTGAAATAACAGCCTCAGTAACTCATCCTAAATATGTGCAGAAGAGCTGCTTTATACTAAAACTTGAGAAATTATATTGTAAGGTAACAAAGGACTACACATCCGATGGTTAAAAGTATTCTGTGCAGACTTCAACTTCACAATTGTATAATTTTGCCACCAGTGAAATAGGTCAAAGGTTAAGCCTCTTGGAATTAGTAAAGACACAGCTGTGTAGCCTGTACCGGTAGATCAAAATAGTTGCTTTAAGAACTGGAATTAGAGACGCTTAGCTTTCATAAGATTCATGTTTGTAGCTGGCTTCCCTGGAAATTAACTAAAGATTTTTGTCATTTTGAGCACTAAAGTAGCACGGGTTGAGCTTCCATTGCAGGCCGCTGCTCATGGAAAAGGTGTACTTTCACAAAAACTGTAGGAAGTTAATGGGACTGCCATCCCTTACCTGACTGTGTTGAAATAAGCCATTTGCTATCAAAAAATGACTATTGTTAATAGGGAAAGAAGTCAAGGAGGCATAGAAAATACAACCACATATGCAGAAAGAATGCTGAATGAATATTATCCTGGAACACCAGGCCGGACACACATAAATAGATGTTATTAGTGGTTGCTCTTACCAGTTACTGCTGCTGAGGTGTATGATCCAGCTGCTAGCTGTTTGATCTTGTGCTGGTTGGTAAAAAATCTAATTAAATGAAATGTGGTCCTTTCTTCTGTGTCACCTAATCCCAACTGACCTTCACTGTTACCTCCAGCAGCATAAACATTTCCTTTTTCTGCATACAGAAAAGCACATGTAATACACAGAATGAAGACATTCCCATCAGTGGTAAAAAGACAGAGAAACTGGAGTAACTCATTTAAAAAAATATTACAGAATAGTTGGGGTCTAGTGCCCTGAAACATTCCCAAGCTGACATTAGCAATTTCTGTTCTAGCTAGCAAAGAGGCTTTCCTGAACATGCTTGGATCAGAACTTTCTAACAGCCATATACATGCATCTCTCTCCATTCTGGAGACTGATCTAAAAAGTAAATATAATCTGAAGCTCTGCAAGAGCTCTGAAAAAATGCTTACTAGCCCTGGCAGCCAGAAGCTCCATCCCCAAATAATGCATATTTTAAGACACAGCAGGAGGAAAATTGTGAGTGATGTCACAGGCAAGATAACTGAAGTCATACCAGTACATAAATTAAACAGATGCATAACTTGATACCTTTAAGTACTGTGAATGAAGAATATTATTGCTTAGGTTTTTATTAGCAATATATTACTCATTTTAATATTGAAATTGTTTTTAATTAACTAGGTCTTCCTTTTGTTTTAGAATCTTAAAATTTAAGTTAAAGGTGATGATTAATATCTTTAACTTAACATTACTTTAAGATTTATACTTTTAGTATGTTTCACATCTAAAGTGCTCATCTATGATGAAAAAGATAAGGCCCATCAATAACCCAAATCCAAACACAAATGTGATAAGCAACTGACATACATTGTATAAATGGTCCTTGCTATATAAATGGCCACAAATTATCTAGCCAGCATGTACACTAAAAGTGACTAATATTTACCCTCTGCAGTCTTGCACACTCAACTGTTATTAAAATGTTCTGTTTTATTATAATAATCTTATTTACAGTGCTCAAGGTCTCCACATATACAAACCTCCCAATAATCAAACAATCCTCTTCGTAACATTATTGCAAGCTAAATGATCACAACCACAAAGCTGGCTATTCCATTACATAAATTTTAGAAGCATGACAAGAATTTGCATCCGTTCTCTGCATACTCTCTAAAAAATTACCTTTTAGTTTAAATTTAGTCTATTTATTTGTAGATTAATAAATCAACATGTCATTGAAATAGCAAACTACCTTATCTAATCAAAATGCAACAAGATATGAAGAGTTGAAAACATTCAGTTCTACTATATTTACTTAAGTATATCACACTAATAAAAATAAATTACTTGTCAAAGATAAATTTGAGTACAGACCCATAAAAAGTGTTAATATACTTTTACAAGGCTTAAATTAAATATTGGTAATTGCTAACCACACCTCAAATGCCAGCAAGGCATTTTTTTCACCTGTCTATTGCTAGCAAACTCCTATACAATATCATTTTATAATCTCAGACTAAATCAAACATTCAAAGAACTGGATACCAAAACACCAAGTTTTAACAGTCCCATTTTAATTTCTTTTTCTTCCCCAACAATCGTGGAGTTCCTAATATAATTTTGCATGAAAGCAAAGGAAAAAATCTATCTTAAATCTACCTTTAATATGTATATAATATAGGTTACATACCTGTGTAAACTAAAGTGTGGTTTCTTCCACAAACGGCAAGTTTTGTTTTTTCTGGTTTTAATGCTATGAATTAAAGTCAAAAAGGGAGAGAGAAGTTATAAACAAGATGACAGTTGGTTCAACACAGAATTTCTACGCTCTAGAAGGAGGTCTGATTTTTTTCATATTTTTACCAACAGAATGATTACAAGATTCATTGCCCATCTGAATGTAGCACATGACTTACTACATCAGGCTTCCCCAAGACAAGAAAACAGATACAGACTTTAAAAACTTCTAGCAGACACTCAGGTTAAACTTCATGATGGCTACTTCATCCCAGGGACACATTCCCCAGAATTTACCATTTGTGGGATACGCCTCAAAGAACTCGTCAAGTTGCAGGACAAAATGCATCATCAAAGCTGTCTTCAGTTTCCATTAACAGTACTATACTTAACTTCCTCTTACACTTTTCCCACTACCTGAAATCTTTAAAATCATACCATTCTTTTGTCTTACCATCCCTTTGTTATGGACAGCTACCTTTTTTTGCTAGATTTATGCTCTGCACTGCCCTCCTATTGATCACTAAACTCAATTGCTAAAGACAGTCCTATCTGGGTTAGTGCCTAAAATTTTTGGATGTACCATACTGTCTCAATTTCAGCTCAGTGACCACCCACCCACCGCATGTGCTTCTTTGGAGTCTGGTCAGTGTGAAAGACTGGGAATGTATGTGAGAAGAATCAAAAACTATTTTGGTAAAAAAGAAAGAATACAAAGGTGCCTTTTCTCCTACGGCAAGTGTACTCCAGGAGCTCCTCAGAAACAGAAGAGAAAAATCTCACCAACTTTTCCATTCTCTCCCCAGTTACTGATTGTTGCCAACAGTTTATCTTCTCTCAGCTATGTTCATGTGCCCTATACAATGCTTTTAAAACAGCATTACTTTCACATAATATATCTGTTTTTCCAATATATGAGTTCATGACAAAGCCAACAACCATCAGCCCTTTCCCATCCCTTTTTCAGCCCTCCTAAACAACTTTCATCATCTCCACAACATTAGATCATTAGATTATAAGTCTCTTCTAGCAAATAAATCTATCTACTTAAGCATGAACTGTCTCTGGTTTATCACACAGACCAAACAAAAATTGCCCAAATGCAGGTTTCTGTCTATCCCATCCTATACCTACCACTACCTATACCTACCACTACCACCAGGCTGGAGCCATAGCACTTCCATCTTAATTTTCTGCTTTCTATCCCAAAACTCTGCCTCCAACTTCAGAGATGATCCCAATCTGCTCTTGAGAAGCTTGTGCTCCCTAACCTTCTTCCCACTTAGGCTAATCAACTGTATTTGATGAGCCATGCTATATTTATAATGTTGCTTGTAGTTTTTCATAACAAATTTCATTAATATCTAGTCAAGTCCCAAAAGATACTTTCTCCAAAACATGCAGGCACAACCATTTGGCCCCAGGCAGAAACTGAAATGTGTCCTTGCAACCGCATTCCCAAAGCCAAAGGTGATGACTGAAAGCTGGCAAGAAAAGCTTCAGGTCTTTTTCCTGCTGCCTACTGCCACAAGAAGAAAAATACCCCCCCTTATGGCTTTTTTCAATGGATGCCAGTTCTGGTTTGAATTGCTGTCATCTTCTCTTTGTCTTTTATTCTCCATTGCCATTTGACAGTAAAAACAAAAGTTGACACCCAATCCATTTAAGCCAAAGTAAGAACCAATCTCTCACATGGCTGACAGAAGATGTGAACCTGAGAGTAACTGCATTCTACATCTGAAGTAAAATAGAGAGAGAAGCAGATAAAGGACAGTAGAATAAACTAAATCAGGAAGAAAAGAGTTTGAAGAAGAAGGGTAATTTGTTTTCAACAATGAGATGACAGATCAATCTGCTGTCAGAAAAGATGATGATAAACAGCAGTGAAAGAACTGTGTTAATAGGATAGATATGATTTGACATAAGTAAGGGGATAGAGAAAAAGTACTGACTTAGTTTTGTTTGATAAGATAAAACTAGCTAGGAAATATGAATAAGATAACAGTACAATGAGAACATATTTTACACCACATGAAAGAATATGGGCACTTATTTTACTGCTTCATACAAATATATTAACTTTTATGCCCACTTGGGTGCTTCTTATACTTACTAAAAATGCAGCAATACTTCCAGAAAGTTCCTTATAGATTTTTTTTTTCATTTATAATGGTAATAAGACAAAAGTGATACCAAGGTTATACAACGCTGTTGGAACTCTCATTTCTAACATATAGACAACAGTGAAGAGATCAGTGTTGATTAATGTCGCAGTCACAATACAGATGTGGTTTGTTAGAAAAGACAGGTATTACATAAAATCAGAGCCCTCAAAAAATAAATGGATTCTATCTATCTGAAGTAATCTTCAGATGAAAAAGGTCCCACAATCTGGAACTAATGGAAAATCAGTCTGGGATCCCTTAAAGCTACCTTTATGAGCTTGTGCAGTAATACGCTACATGTGATGAATAAAGAAGGCAGAATCAGTTATTTTGGAACTGCGTCTTACAAAGTACCTTTTCACAAGGGTCTTCTTTCAAAAAGGCAAAAAGAAAATAAAAAAATTTGAAAAATTAAACAAACCTTTAACACATGTTGGTTTGCTGACAGTGCTCTTTGATCCTAGTCCTAACTGTCCCCAGTTGTTACTACCAAACATGTATAGTTTACCATTCCCTGAAAAAAAAGAAAAAAAGCGCAGTCAGAATCCATACTAATATCTGAATACCTCACTCAAGACCAGATGGGCATCCACACACTATGCTATATATTACTTCTTTTTTAAATTAAGGTTAAAGATTACTATTCAGTAGTTAATGTCCTTGTGATTTTTCAGCATGAAAGCAGTAATTGCATTGTTTAAGCAAGAAATCCTCAGCCAGAAAAAGGGACAAAAAGCAGAACAAACATTCTCTTCTTCAATTGCAATACAGATAAAGTGCTCTTCAGAAAATAAAATGCTGTACGTTCGGTCACACCCTGCAGATCAGAAACCACAGTATCTATAGGCCTACTTATAAAATAACAGCACATTTAACTTAGCACCCACATCTTCTTTCCCAAAGGCAGGAATGAATAATAAAGCTACATTATTAATACAAACAGAAATTTGTAATATTCAGCTTATTTTGCTGACTGTGGGCTATTTCTTTTACTGTTAAATGACTTCCCTCAAAATGATTTACAAATTTGCACCTCGACAGAACACAGTTTCTGATAAATTTTCAACTGTGCTCACAAATTGTATTAATTTGTTACTCTGCATATAAAGAAGGAATACATAAAACCACCATGCAGTCAGGGAATTTTGAAAACCTAAATGCAAACATTAGATTACAAATCTTCAGCAGGATCAATGCTAGAAGCCTATTTCAATCAACTGTCATAATTCCAAACAACCAGTGGTTAACAGGATGGTATATGAATAGATGAAACTTCTATCATCAGGCATGCAAATTAGATAGCCAAAACTGACTACTGACAATACCTTAAAATTATTTTCATTTCATTTTTTAAACTATTATCTTTTGTAAAGCTGAAGTTCACACCCAAAGATAAAACCCTTGCTCCAACAGAAATCTATGCAAAATGAAACTGATTTGTCAAAAGACAAACAAACAAACAAAACCCAACAAATGAAATCCGCGATACTTTTAACAGTGCTAAAAGGAGTTTGTTTTCTTTTGATGAAGGTCTGCAGAGCTTTGTGAGCTAGACTCCATTACAAGGCTGACACACAAATAAACTTTGTCACCCTAGCAATAATTACCACATGATCACAAGACATAACAGCAACTCCACATAACAATGTCAAAATACTATGGCTGTTAGTGCTTCAGTAGTGTAGGCTCCCAGTGAAAATTCCCAGCAAATGTGAGTTATGGAAACTTTGAAATATGATATTGAAATGTTTAAAATATAACAAAAATATTTCTTCTGTTTAAAAAAAAATCCTTTTATTTTCTTAATTATATCCATACAGTTAAAAAAAAAAACAACCAAACAAACCGACAAAACCAAAAAACCCAATAAAAACACAGACCACCACCAACTGACAGTCACTTATATCTAAAGTCCCAACAAAATTTTTAGATTTGACAATTTTTGGAACATGGCACTATATGTCAATATTATGTCTTTCCAAGAAGGTTGGAAGGGAAGAAAGTATGAGGTCAAGTCTACGCTCACAGGGTTGTACTATTTCGATAATGCAATCACATCAAAACACATGCAGAGCTGTTTGTCATTGACAGCAAAACACACCATAACAGAAAGAATTTTTATTAGCAAATGGCATTCTATACTAGTGTATGGTTCCTTGTATCCTTGGTTTATACCGTTTAACTGCCTTTATAGGACAGTAGTACTCCTGTAGGAATATGGTGCCAAGCTGCTGTAACTCAAGCATATTCTATTTTATCCATTCAAAATTCTAACAAGTCATGCCTTCCATCCTATAACCTGCTGTTTTTTCCACCAGTTTTTAAATTCCCAGGCAGTGCATGCTGAGGATTTCAGCTGGTATTTCCCAGCTACTGAATGAATGCCTTTAGTAGTGCTTCATAAACCAGGGGAGCATGACAGATGGGGTTTCCATGTATCACAGTAGGGTATGATAATAGCAGGCAGCCAAGTACTCCTACTACCCATGTTTAAAGGTACATTCTACAGATTCCCCCACCCTGCTTTCTAAATTATATTAGAGTTGAAGGGAAATAAAAGGGGAGACAATATACAGACTTTGAGCACTTAGTACAAGATTCTATTGAAAAGCTGTATCTAAAGAAAATGTAAGAGGTAATATTTTGGACAGAGTATCAAATGCCAGGAACCATAATTTATTTATTTATGCTATTTTCGCAATAAAATATGTTAACATTTCATTTGAAATTCATATGCAATTCAAATACAACTCATGAAAACAAGACTGACATCAGATTTGTTAGGCAAGTTGTGATATTCTCAAAAGCTTTATTGAGCAATAAAAAGTCACACCTAGGACGTCTAGAATCACACAAACAAAAACACTGAAGCATGTTGCTCGCTCCTACACATATCAAAGATGAACACAAAAGTGTACTAATCTTCCTCATTCTCCCCTCACAGTTGATGTAAAAGATGCTCTGATGGCTGGTTGGTAAGCAGAAAGAATAGAAGGAATCTGCTGTCCAAAGACCTGGAAAGATTCCAATGTCTCTTTGGTGTAAATTACTGAATATTTAATGCCTTACAAAATGTGAAATTATAAGCATACTATCTTGTTGTGGTTACATATGCACCTCTTTTCATTCCTACTTTAAAACTTTATACTTGTTTCTTTCCTTCTACCCTCTTGCGCTGGGGCTTCAATTCTCTCCAGAGCTCTGAGCCCAGAAAATGTCTTCTGTCGTTGCCATTTTCCCCCTTTTGAGTAGGATTAGTCTCTCTCATCAAATGTGGGTAAGCTGCCTAGGATATTCTAATCAAGAAAAGAAAATTAACAGAAAGGTACTGGGAGTAGATTCTTAAAAATATGTGCAACATCACTTATTTCACACCAACTCTCAATAGAATGAATTGCTTTCCAAAGCTTTGAGTTATAGAAGATGCAGGAAGTGGACTGTCAGTATTCTTGGGCCAAAAAAACATACAAATGGGGGAAGAAACATTATTACAAATTCCAGGTGATGTTGGAAGATATACTGCTCATGACTATGTTAAAGAAATAAAGAAGGCAACTGCTTAAAAAAAAATCCTGCTTGAACATTTTAATGATGATTGTGCTAATGGTAGAGAGCAGATAAATAAGCAAACACAAATTTCAATCCTAAACACCAAAATTGGAGAAGGAAATGGTTTTCCAACTAACTCAGCAAGCCAACTCCAAGTCAGCAAGTAACTCAGTGGTCTTCTCTATTCCAACATACAGCCACAGTATGTAAATAGAATTTTGAACTCTTAAGTCTTGACCTAGAAAGCTATAGTGTTTTATATTTACTCTACACTTTTATTTCTAAAAGTCATATGGGAATACTGGTGCTGGGTAAAATGAAAGAAGTATCTAAAAATCTATGAATATTTTGTTTAAATGCTAAATATTAGTTCCTATATATTACCTTTATTTGAATTCAGTCAAGATTCAGTGCTAGATGTATCTGTTTCTCCTGCCCCAAACCAGCTCTAATAACATTTTGTATCCGTTTGAGTGATTGTTTTACTTACAATCATTGAGACATTAGTGCAAATCTGGTATTTTTCTATTAGATTTGAAACTACCTTGTATTTCCATGGTTCTCTGCATATGTAGATCCCACTATCTCTGGGAAAAAAAAAAAAAAAATGAAGGGGGGAATTTTGTGACCTGCAAACAAAGACTGAAAATACAATGAAGCATGCATTAACACACACCTGCTTCAGATAATTTTTCTTCTTCAGTAATGCTTGTCTTTTACCTCTTCCATGTCAGGTTCAGGTGGATTTCAAGAAGCTCCTGGTTTCCCACAAGGTCTGTACCCTTCTCAGTAAACTCATTACTGGCATGCACTTCTGAAGCTTTTATTCCAGGCAACTGCATTCCAATGTCATTCACCAAGGACTGTAATTCCACTGTATCATCCAACTCCATCTAACAGCAGAAATGCGAGGTGCACACGGTCATGCACAGGTGTGAAGAACAAATGAGGGATAAAGATTTTCTATTTTCCTTCTTCACTTTTTTGTATGACTTCTGCAGTTTCTCCACCTTCATTCATCGTTGATCAGTATTTTACCCTCAACTTTGCCTCTACGTTGCAATGTCCCAGAAAATCTTTCAGTACCAAGGAAATTTTGTACTTGTGCTTCTACAGCTCCTTCTCCTCAAAAGCTTTCAGAAAATAAAGATCTGATTATCTAGAAGTTTCCCTGGTGACATGTGCACACTACCTCAGCAAAGGCCAGCTAGAGATATTTTGGAAACATGCTGCATATATTAAAATAACAGGGACAAAGGAAGACAGAGAAATGGTGCTGAATGCAAACCTATGCAAGTTGACTTCTTAAAAAGCTTTATGTAAGTGGCCACAATTACAATGACATGGGAATCAGGGGCTTGTGGCTGATCAGGGTAACAGTGCTGGCACAGGCACATGCTGGGGAAACTCAAGAGGCAGTTTAGATTGTCTAGTCTAAACTGAGAATTATAGCAGCGTTATTTCAAACTGGGTGTGGGCATATGAAAGGATAAAAGGATAAAAAAAAAATCAAAAGGAATATTTCACAGTGCTCCAGGTTACATTATGATTAATTTTATGCAACAGGCAGTTTACTAGAACTGGTTCAAACCAAGAAAAATGTAGTTTTGTTCAAAATAAACTATTCATGGATAATTCATCTTCTATGAAGTTAGGCTTGAAAAATTAATTGTATCATTTCACCTCAAGATGTTCTGCAGTTACTGAAATCTGTACTCTTTTTTAATCATACCTGAAAGAGTTCATTCTAAAAATCCAGCATCTTCAACTTTGCTTGGGAACTTAGCAAGAAACCCTTAAGAAATTATTTAATAAGCAGTGACCAGTTGGACATTGATGAGGAATAAATAGATTTCTTTAAAATAGTCCTGAAAATATGCATACACATTTCATAAGAAATCTTATCTGTTAGCAGTTGATTGTCAGTACAATCGACACACATTTCATCAACAAAAGAGTATTTTCATCCACATAAAATAAACTTTAACATTTCAAAGAAATAAAAATAAACATTAATACTGCTGCCTGTGTTGCATCTGAGCTTCTCTGAATGCTTTTGCAGTTTATTTCTGATTTTAGTAGGATTTTCTTAAGTTGCTTTTTTTTTTAAGTTGCTCTTTCAAGGGTTATTTTCAGTTGACAGTTAATAATATTCATTTCAGAAATACAACAATATCTATTGTTTCAGGCAGATTCCTAGTGAACTTGTTGACTGTGTTCAACACTGCTTACTACCACAACACAAACCCTTATATTTATGATTGCCTACTAAACACTATCAGATTCACAAGAAATATTCAAACTGAACAAATTCATGCTTCCTTTAAATGCTGTGAGATACACTCAGTTACTACAGCTTCCCTCATGACAGGTCTTGGGCATGTCTTCTGAAAACCTTCAGTGATCTCAATCTAACTTCAAAAGCATTCGACAGTTCCCACAGAGAAGTCATCTCTCCTCTCAACAATCTCATTTGATGTATTACTTCATGATTCAAAGAAGAATCATAACTTTCCCAGCTGTACAAATATATAACCTATATAACCTTTCATCATACACTCCATTTTCAATACTGACCTGTAACAATAGCGGTATGTTCATCTCCACATGATATAAGTACAGGCTTGTCATTTTTGAACCAGAACTTGCTGGGAATATCTTCTGCAAATTTGCTTTTTCCAAATGTGAAAACAGCACCTGATTCTAAACCACAAAAAGATAATGTCAGTTTTAGTGAAAACAAATTTTGCCTCATACATTTTGAAATGGTAATTTCCTATTAATTCAATTAATTTTAGTTTCCTATCTTTTTATTTTTACAAAATGTACTTTTGTCCTGGGTTCAGCAGCAGCAGTCATTTTTCTCCTTCTTGGTAGCTGGTGCAGTGCTGTGTTTTTGACTTTCAGCCTGGGAACAGCGCTGATAACACTGATGTTTTTAGTTGCTGCTCAGTAATGTTTGGTCTGACCAAGGACTTTGTGAGTCTCCTGCTCTGCCAGGGAGGAGGGGAAGCCAGGAGGAAGCAGAAACAGGACACTTGACCCAAATTAGCCAAAGAGGTATTCCATACCACAGCATGTCATGCCCAGTATATAAACTGGGGGCAGTTACCCAGAAGCACAGCTTGGGTGTGGCTGGGTATCGGTCAGCGGGTGGTGAGCAGTTGTATTCTCTTCCCTTGTTATTTCCCTTATCATTATTATTATTGGTGGCAGCAGTACTGGGTTTGTGTTATACCTTAGTTACTGGACTGCTCCTATCTCAACCCGTGGGAGTTACATTCTTTCGATTTTCCTCCCCATCCCTCCGGGATCAGGGGGGAAGGAAGAAAGTGAGGGAAGTGAGCCTGCAGCTGCGTGGTTCCGAGTTACTGTCAGGACTTAAACCATGAGACAAAAAAAAAAAAATCCTGCTGAAGTGTTTTATTCTATTCCATTTTATCAAGACTACTTCATTTTACTTCATTTTCAGGCTCACCTTTTACTCCTTCTGATACTTCTTAGTCTTCATAAATTTCCTAATAGAATAGATAGTGTTGCTGGTATATTGCGTTCAATAATTTAACATCCACTCATGCACTTTATCACTACCCTCTAAGAAAAACTACAGGTTTGTAAAAGAAAGAAAAACGAAAGAGGAAAGAGGATAACTGCCCTCAGAAAGTAAAATAAAACTCTCATCCTGAAAGCTGGTCAAGGCAAAGAGGTCTCACATTTATACTTGAATTCACACAGGTTTTTCAAATTGGAGGGGAAAGAGAGGGAGAGAGACAGACAGACACACACACACACTGTAAAGACGTGACAGGCTCCAAACTGACCACTCTTCATCATCCACCTGAAGAGACACATTTGCTCTAAAAACGGCCCCCTAAAATCAAAACTCTCTGCCTTCAAAACATGGGTTGGCATAACTGCCTTTGATCATAAGACCATGATCTAAAACATCCAAACAAAACCACCCCAAAATACAGCTCTTTTGCCCTCTTTTGCCCTTCTAATCTGCCCAGTTTTCTCAGCGTCAGCGATGTTGTTTCAAAACACAGAATGTTAAATATTCATTCACCTTTTGGTCAATCATGTGGCTCAACACAGAAAATACTAATTCTAGACGATAATGAATGAATTTATAAGTTAAATAACTTTCCCAAAACCAGGCAGAAAATGAGGCAAAGCCCAATTAGACCTCCTACTTTAAAATGTCAAACCTTGTGCTTCAAGCATAGAATAGTTTTTAGGAAAATAAAACAAAAAACCCAAACCTTTTCCTTGTATACTTTTTGTTAACGTGAAGTTATGTTAACACAAATATGCACAGTAACACTAGACTGCTTATATGAAATCACATAGTAACATTGAAACATCTTTGCATATTTACTTTCAATACAAATCTCATCAATAGTGTGCGTCCCAGCTCCAAGAAAGCCCTCTCTTAAGAGAGAGAAACTGTGATTTTGATGCTTACTTTGAAATGATTCTTTAATGCAAAAGCTCCCCGTATTTGCAAGTAAGATGTTATTTTATGCATCAGGTTCAGCAGACGTATAAAATTGTGTTTAGTACTCTCTAAATGTACTAGATTTCAGAGCACTCACGCCAAAGCAGAGCTCTCTGGTCAATTTATTTTTCTTTCAGCAGAACTAGCATGAAAATATTTATGTACTATTAGTTTAGTGTATACAAAGAGCAGACAACTCACAAACATACTTCATCTCTCATTCATTTCATAACTGAAGCTTAAGCAGTCAGTTGGGAAATTAAATCCTACCAATTCATAAAATTAAATCCCACAGAACGGGGCTTTGAGCAACCTGGTCTAGGGTGAGGTGCCCCTGCCCGGGGCAGTGGGGCTGGAACTGGATGACCTTAAGGTCCTTTCCAACCCAGCCCATTCTGCGGCTCTATGGTAAATGAGGGTTTTGCAGTCTCGGCACCGAGCAAACATTTAACAATTACTGGTTGTCCAGCCACGGACCATAACTTACTAACTGGAAAAGCCCCGTTTGCTTCACACCGCACCGCTACACCCTGCCGCTGACGCCAGCAAGGCTGCCTTCCAGTCTCTCACGACAGAGTACGGAACACTCTGGACCGGCGCTCGCAGAACGGAGGGAGAGGGGAGCGGCTGCGAAGGACAGAGCACCGCGACCAGGGGCCGGGGCCGCACGCCGGGGTAGAGAAGCGGCCGCTCATGGCGCCCATCGCCGCAGCGGTGGAGTAAGCAGGAGGGGACCGCCACACCCCTGCCCGCAGCTCCGTCCCTGTGAGGCCCCGGCAGCACTCACCGGGCACCGGCAGCTCGTCCTCCTCAACGAGCTCGGCCATAGCAGCAGGCGGCAGGCGCCCCATGCACGGCGGCTGCCGGAAGTAAACAGACGCCGTGCCACAGGCAACGGCCATAGAGAGCTGCCATGGGGAGGCAGCCCGGCCGGGGTTGTCGTGATTGCCCCCTAGCGGCCAGCGATGGGGCTGTCGCCGGGAGCCTGATGCTCCCAACATCTTACGTTCCACAGGGGCGGCTCTAGCTTGCCCCTGTTCCCTGCACGTACGGAATCGGCCGTAGCACGCCAGGCGGGGCTCACGGCGGCTGACGGGGGAGGAATTACCTGGAGTCGTACCTCCAGCTTTCCTTCCCGAGCACCTTCCCTGCGTACCTGAGCATCGTTCCCGTGTCCCTCCTCTGTAGCCTGTCCCTACCTCTGACTCTCGAACACCCTTCTCGCACTGGAGCTCTGCCAAGCCATTCCTCTGCTTTCTCTGCTGGGTGTGGAGGGGCTGCCCTGCCTCAGCCGGGTGAACAGAACGTAGATTGGAAACTTCATTTTGTCACCACAGGGAGCCTTCTGTCCTAAAAGACAAGTTCCCTCTGTTTGATGGTATCTCACCGGGATGTCAGTCTTCTGATCGGGTGCACAAGAAGACATTCAATCATCCACCCATCCAGGGGCGCTTTGGTAATGGCAGTTCTGCAGACCCCACCGACACAGGTCCAGGGGCTTTGTAGCCTTTTAACTCCCTGGTCTAGTGGGAGGTGTCCTTGCCCCGTGGCAGGGGGTTGGAACTGAGTGAGCTTTAAGGCTCCTTTCAACCTAAACCATTCTATGAGTCTATATTTAATGTGCAGTCCCAAACTGCCAACTGAGGTTTTCTGTTGTGTGTCGTTCCCCCCCCCCCCCCCCCCCCCGAAATCTCCATGGTTAGTTATGGATTTAATTTCTTGCTATTTCTGTGCGTTTCAGATATGCTGGCAGAAGAAGGTCTTGCTTTCAAGATGATGTACTGCAACAGAGGCTGCAGCTGGCACCCTGGACAACTGATTTAAGCCTTGTTTATGCAGAGTTTAATCAATACAGTTATTGGTGCACAAGATGAGGTGTCCTTTAGTCTCTTTGAACCCCAATACCCCTCTGAAGTTTTCTTACCTGTTTTTCCTAAGTCTGGAGTGAGAAGATATCCAGCAAAAGCTGTTCAAAGTAAAACTCAACATTGTTCTACGAAGTGATGACTGAGATTGTAGTTACCAGACACTGTGGTTGCCAAGAATATAAATGAGTTACAAAGCGATTAGGAAGACTGATGGGAAGGTGTCTGCAGCAGGATTTGGGTTTCTGTCTGTTGAATCCTTCTTGAGGATCAATATCTGTCTGAGAGATGGGAGCCACCTCACAAAGTGGGACAGATCTCCGCTGGTATGGTGGCTGACCTGGTAAGGAGATCCTTGAACAAGGAATGAATGGGAAAGGACAGAGTTACCAGCAGTGTCTGCAAATGGTTAGATGCTGAGCTCATGGAAGTCTTTATTGGACACCACTCAGTGGAGTCTGAATGAGAAAGGCTGGCAAGTGCTGCCTTTTTCAAGCATCTCAGAGTTGGTTTGGCATGAGCGGTCGGGGGTCCTGAACAAATCCCACCAAGAGTTATCACCCTGAATGACTTTTTCACAGCAGTTTCTCTGGGGAAGAGAGACTCCGTGTTTTAATTATATGATCTTCATATTGCAATTTCAACATATCGCCTTCTCTGACAGATGTGCCACCACCTTGATTTACACAAGTATGCCTTTCCTTACACAGAAGTCCTTATACTTCCTCATTACTATGAGAAAGAAATGGCCATATTTCAAACTATCTACAGTGCAGGTGGCATAAAATCTCATCTGACAATTCTATTTGAAGGTAGAAACTTAAATGAACTCACTTTAGTATTTAGCACTTGACCAACATCAGATTATATAGCAGGCAATTTAAAGTAAAAAGGTATGCAGGTTGCCATATTTAAGTTTCTGGACCTTACTGAAGGCTGTTTAATGCTACTACAGCACAACTTAAAACTTGGTCCAAAAAACACCCCAGGAAAACACACAGTTTTAATTTAGCCTGTCTCCACTTTGTCAGGGCCCTACAGACACAAATAAGCCTTAATGGCCCTCCCCAGCCCCACACCCATGGGCCCAGGACCCCAGTTTTGTCTCTGTGCAGGTCCATCAGTCCCTGCACAAGCCATATTAGGGCCAGGGAGCCTCCATGGTCATGGTCCCATCCCCAAGTGAGCCACCCTGCTTGTGCTGCACGCTGCATTTTTTGCACTAGCACGTGCTCCTGTACAAATATTTAGCAAACATGAAATTGCCTTGAAATGGTGTTGACACAGGTATGATATGATGGGCCCACTGAAAAGAGCACAGACTGCGGGTCTGTGAGAAGTCTTTATCTGTAGAGTTTGACCAAGGAAAAGGTTCAGTGTCAGCCCCCACCAGCCCTGGCTGGGTCAAGAAAAGCAAAGACTTTGGTTCTTGATTTTGTCTTGTCTGCACAGCAGTGCAGCTTGCTCTCTGTTTCAAACGCCTTTGCTTCTCTTAACTTTATCTGTGGGACTGAGAGAAGTCTAACACGAGCAGAAGATGCTGTTCAGTGTGAAGAACTTATTCAGTGCTGCAAAACTAACAATGACCAGCAGGCAGTGGCTGCGACAGTTTTGGTAAGTTTATCCTTTAGTTTTGTCTGGTGTCCAGTGATATTTAGTCAGAAACCTGGAGACAAAATCAGATGAATCTTATGAAGGAGTGAGATTTTCAGAAAAAGCCATGGTTTTTTTCTGCATTTTTAGTGCCCTTTTGCTTCTCAAGGCAACAAGCTCTACATGTTCAGGAGATGGATTTTCCCTTTTATTGTTTGTGAAATACTGCTAATTTCTATCTACTCTGCAGGTACTGTAATCAATAAATAACTATCCAAATAAAGTATACAGGATATTCTTATGCATTTAGACAGTTGTCATGGTCAGTACTGGGAGGGAAGTTCTCTCCTTGGAGCTGCAAGGTGAATCTCTGCTTTGGTTTTGTTTGTTTTTTTTTCTTGTCTGTGTATACACTGGAGACCTGCAGGAAAAGCATGACGTGAGATGAGGTTCACAGTTAACCATGCAGACCTGGCTCTGTGACCTGACTTCTGGTTCCTTCTTCAGCTGCCTATCCCCTGTGCCTGAAGAAGAGCAAATGTATCACAGTGTTTCAGTGAGCTGCTTCTCATGCTTGTCACATCTCCAGAATCAGGTTAAACTTAATTCCACATCTCCCTGTGTTTTCATGTCAGTGTCAGTAAGAACATTAACAGCATTATGTAACAAATTATTAGTGCTAGAAAACAGTACGTGTGAATTTCATAATCACAGGAATCCTAATATGCAGTAAGTCATTTTTATTTATCATTTCTACATTGCATCAGAAGAAAAACAAATGTTTTCTGAGTTCTGTGATTTATTTGCAACAGTTTTAAAGTGGTCCTGAAACCTGGGTAATAATTTTTTAATGGATTTTGGATTTTCACTGCTGGCAATCGATGGGAACTTTCTCTGGTAAGCAGAAGTGATAGAAAAGCAAGTTTGTAAAACAATTGCAGTAAATCTGGTTTTCCAATAAACTCATCCGATTTGTTAAGCTCCTCACATAATGTTGTTTGTTATTTTTAGGGGGTTTTAGCATTATATCATAATGTCGGCATAAGCTATCACCACTGTCTATGAGTATTACAAGTTCAGCACACTGTGGCTGATACTGCAGGATAACCTAGGATCTATCAGCCTGTTTTAATAGTCCAAAGTAATTGCTGTCCCTGCTAAGAAAGGAGTAAGCCAACTGCTTGACTTTTCAGTTCTGCCTGTTACATTTTAACTTTGGTATGTTGTCTCATGCTCCTTCTCTGGAATTTGTCGACTTCTGCCCCCTTTCAGAGGATGTGGGTAACAGGGAAGGGAATGCATTTCTTGAAGGTCATAGCAATAAAACAGAATCATCATGGGAACTCAGTGGTCAGGAGCAGACCTCTAGTCCTGCTTTCTGCTATATATATTTTCTTACTCCTGTCTTGAAAATCTCCACGGATTGTAATTCCAAATCCTCTCTGGGTAACCAATTTTACTGCTTCACTATCTGCCAGTGCAGAAATTAGTAGTGGATATTTCTCAGTCCACTTCTCAGTAGAGCAAAGACCACTGAACAGACAGGGCTTGGATGTGACTTTCATTAACACATCATGTCTAAGCTAGAGGAAATTTGATCTTGTAACTTCTATGGGTGATTATCAAAATCAAATGCCATGTGATTCTGAAGTCCTAAATCTGGCTGGCAGCCAGAATACACTGAATAAACACAGTGCACATGGCCAGAACTTCTCTTGTGTGGTAAGGACTAGAGCACATGGCCATTTTGTTGATTTTTTTTTTACTTTCTTCCCCAGTGTAATGAAGAGATTTCATACACATTTATAGAAATGTATTGGTGAGGATGGAACATAGCAAGTGCCTGCTCATCTACAAAGCACTAAGGAAGGAGGGAGAAAGAGCACCAAGATCTGTGCCTCATATCCTGTGACCCCAAAGAGCAACTTTGCAGTCTATACATAAGCTGTTTCACCATGCCTTGAATGTCTTTGTGCATTCGGGTTTATTTGACAGGCAGCACACAGTCAAGTCATCTGCATATCAGAAGGCAAAAGAAACTACATCTAATGTACAGTTTATAATACTATTTCAGACACCGTTATGGTGCTGATCAATATAGTGCATAGTGGCATCATGTGTCAGTCTGACAATAAAAGTTACTTAAACTAACACAGTCCATCAGGCTGATCCAGCTGGGTCATAGAATCATAGAATCAACTAGATCAGAAAAGATCTTTAAGGTCATCAAGTCCAACTGTTACCCCAGGACTGCCAAGTCCACCGCTAAACCATGGCACTGAGGGCACTTCCAGGGACAGTGATTCTACCACTTCCCTGGGCAGCCTGTTCCAATGCCTGACCACCCTTTTGGTGAAGAAATTTTTCCTAATATCCAGTCTAAACCTCCCCTGGTGCAGCTTGATGCCATTTCCTCTTGTTCTATCACTTGTTACTTGTGAGAAGAGACCAGCCACCTCCTCCACTTCAGAAATGAAGTGTTCAAATGAAGGGACTGGGAGATATTTCATCTTCTTGCTCATTCGCTTTAGCATGAGTGCAAGTCTGTATTGAATGACAAAAAGTGTGCATTTTTTGCTCTTTTGGGACAGGTATGGGCCACCAGCTCAAATGAATGTTCATCTGAAAGGTCGTGACCTCCTTACTCTGCAGAACTACACAGCAGATGAGCTGAAGTATTTGCTGTGGGTGGCTGCAGATTTGAAGCAAAGGATAAAGTGCAAAGGAGAGGTAAAATGCTTTAATTAACTGTAAATCAATTAAAAAAATCAAAAACCCTTCGTGTAAAGTGTTCAGAAATATTCTTTAAATATTCAGAGGACTTGGCAAGTGAAAAGGTTAAACAGCTTTGCACAGCTAACTCCCTGTTATTGGCTAACCCTGTCCATCAGCACATGGTGTACATGCAGAACTAAACGTAAGAAATGGAAGACACTTCACTGCAAGGGATTAAATTAGTATCAGAGTTCTCCTTAATGCTGGTTCAAACTGAGTGCCAAAATGCAATTGCTTTTGCCCCTAGAATTACTTCTTTCCCTTTAACCTTTCTACTGATAATAAGTTTCTTGAAGGGCAAGAAAACATAGCTATGGTTGGAAAAAACCCTCTGTGTAACTTTTCTATGCTGAAATAAAAAAAAAGAAAGAAGTATTTCACACTGTAAATTGTATATAACTATAAAATTGAAATGCATTCAATTTTCATGTTTCAGTATTTGCCTTTGATGCAAGGAAAATCTTTGGCCATGATTTTTGAGAAGAGAAGTACAAGAACAAGATTATCTGCAGAAACAGGTATATCTGAGTATTGGCACAGTCAGATTTTATATGAAATGGTATACTGTGAGTATGTACTGAAAACACTGCATAATTTTGTACTTAGCAGTTTACACTCAGGAGAAACCCAAAGTTTGAAAACAAAAATAGGAAAAGAATGGTAGCTAATTTTGTTTCACCTTGCATATTAATGTAACAGGCGCATTGCTTAAGTCACTGAAATTTCACCAAATCATTCCAAAACATGATAGATGAGAAATAATTTAACAGGCAGAAGTAAGCATTTCTGGAATAAGCTCCTAGTTGTAGTGGCAAGATGTACATTTCCTAACATTTATTTTTGTAAGCATCACAAATTTAATTCTTTGCAGGCTCTAATAAATAGAGACTCCGGGGTACTACCCTAATAGGATCAGGCACTGGAACATTATTCTTTTAGCATACAGTCCTGTGAACACTGAAACACATACATAGCTTTATTTACATGGTAGTTGCTCTGACATCAATGGAACCACTGAAAGAAATCATTCATGTGCTTACATGTTAGCAAGGAATAGCTATGAACTGGTGACAGAAGAAGGAAGGAAAAGCTTGCCCTTCTCTCATCTTAATTGACCCAGCATCCTTTAGGCTGACTTCTCCCTAGCAAGGGGGCAGGGAACTTGTTGAATATTCACATTTCTTTACCAGGTGTGAGTGAGAAGATAAAAATAATGGAAGGAAGAAGCAGATCTGTTAACTGCAAGCATTTCTGAATTTGCCTTTATATCCCTTGGCACAGCCATTTACCTGCTGATCCTGCTCTTTACGTTGCTTTCTGTTTTTTCCAGATAAGCAGGATTTATGAATGGGTTTTTCTTGTTCATTCCCTGTCTATGAAGACCACCCCCCTTTTGATTCCAGAGGATTTAGTTCAGTTTCTAGTTGCCTACCATAGTGGTACATGGGCAAGTAATGACAAATTCTCTGAATCTGTTTATCCCTCATGCTTCTGTATTCAGAGGGAAGCACAGTTTAGTCCTTGCCTTTCGAAGGCTTACGCCATGGGGAAGCTCAGGAAGGTTCAAATGAATTATCTTAAGGATGGGAGTTAATGCACATAAATTCATTCAAGAGGGATTAAGCTCCAGTGAAATAACCCAAATTTATTTCTGAGCTTTCACAAGGGAGTTTAGAGCAGTTTAAATTCTGTGCGTGAACTTCACACCTTCAGTTAATTGGTCGTAAGTCCCCTAAGCCTAAGACTTTGTTTCAAAGGCAGACTCAAGTTTTTTCTGTCCATAGAACCTCTATACATTTCAGCTGCTTTTTAACATACATGACTTCTCCCTTGGAATTTCTACCTCAAAACAAATATAGGACCACATGTATTTCTTTTAGCAAAGTAAGCTAATTTAATACCAATTTTCTAACGTCCAGTGAAAGTGGACATTGAAGTGCTTATTTATAAGATACCTGAGTCTTCTCAAATAGCATTTCCCACCCATTGCACCTTCAGCGTCTTGAAAGAGGTCACTTATGGGACAAGGTTCTGGTGATGAGATTAATCTAAACAAACTTTGCAACTCTCAGGAACAACTACATGCAAATCAGTGGGTTTCATTTTGAAGGATTAGAGACTTGGAAAGCACTGATTACAAAATCTGCTCTGTGCAGTGTCCAAGAGATTGTTATGGGAGGCAGTGTCAAGGGCCATAACAAAGTTCAGGAAGATAATACCCACTGCTCTCCTCTAATCTACCTGGCCAGTCATTTCATCATAGAAGTTTATCAGGTAGGTCAAGCATGACTCCCCCTTGGTGAAGACATGCTGATTACTCCCAATGATTTTCTTGTCCCTAATCTGCCTGGAAGTGGTGTTCAGGATTGGCTGCTTCATTGTCTTTCCAGGAATCAAGGTGAGGCTGACTGACCTGTAATACTCTGGGTCCCCCTTCTTGCCTTCTTGAAGATAGGGGTGACATTTACTTTTTTCCAGTCTTTGAGCACTTCTCCCAGTAGCCAAGATTGATCAAAGAGTATAAAAACATGAATTTGGAATGCATTGTAAGAGAATAGTTGATGTTTGCAGCTTTTCCAACATACTATGCTCCAAAATGTTTATCCTGATGACATTGCAACTGTACTGAATAACGTGCAGCTTCTTGTGGTATAATTCATTACCCCTTTACTCTCTTGAACAGATACAATCTTGTTCTAATACATGTTTCTGAAAACCATATTGTTTTACTATTTCCAAGTGTAAAGGTGTTGTGAGTTTAATGAGGAACACAAGTAACTTCCGTAGAGTATTTGGCAAAGTAAATCCGGTTTTGTGGAGCCTACTAGATTTATTGCTATCACTGGCTATTATATAGGAAAATGTGACATCTTTGCTATTGTAGTAGAAAATGTCATCTGTTTGCAGTCAGAATCCCATACCCATTCTGCATAAAATCTTGTGTACTTTTTAAAACAAAGGTATTGCACATGGTCATATATTACTTGTAAAATAAACATCCTTGGGCATGGCATAAAGTTGAATGCCCTGGTTTTGTTATAACTTTAGTGTAAAGTGTTCTGATTGTCACTGTTACTCTTAAAATATACAGTTGCAGTTATGTTTTAGTGAACAAATCATAAACAAATCGAAACATTTCACAGGTGCTGAATGAAGACAATATGTCACAGAGTAGAAATGGAGAGGAAGCAATACAGGGAGAAAAGCTCTGTATGCCTTCTTTTGCTGTGCACTGGAACATACGAGAAATTGTAAGTCCTGGCAGGCAGTGAGGAAACTAACAAATTCAGATGCCTTGCAATATAAAAAAGGATCCTTCCTTGAGTTTGAGAAGATGGCTGTGAATGTCTTCTGGTGAAGGTGCGGCAGCCCCTCTACTGTGTATCCAGTGTGTGCACTGGAGGATTCACTTTGGCCCCACAGTGTAGCAGGGATGGCTTGGAATGAAGATTTAACTTATGTCTGTACAGCACTTGTATCCTATGTGAAAGAGTGGACTCAACAATGTGCCACAGCCTGAGACATAAAACTCTCCTTTTTTGAAAACTAACAGTCGTGAGAAGTCTGGTCATGAGATAATAAACTATTCTGGCTCTGCAGTATGAACATTTAATAGAGTTTGTTGAGGATATCAATATTCATATAAACACTTAGCATGTGGCTTTGGATACGACCAGCTTGTGACAACAGGGAGGATTAGATCCTCCACTTTAACACAGCGCTCCAGCATGTGTGTATTTGCTGAATGGGTGCCTGCATATCTTCAAAAGTCATCACTTTTTTTTCTTTCTACCGATAGTCAGATGAAAGAATCTGAAGCAAAGATTCTGTCTCTGCAACTATATACAAAGCTAGAGCACAGAGCTCCTGTATTTCCATATGGAAAGTTTTGGATGGAAATACGATCCCAGGCCCTGCACAGATGGCCAGTTCAAAAGCAAAAAGCCCAACACATTAAGACTGTGCTATATACACAGGCTCCAGGTGGTGGCTCTGACTGGGCTGCCTGACGTCTGGCAGTTCTGAATAAATGACCAGATTCCTCTTCTACCTGAGCATCATTTATAGAAAACAGAACATGTCCATGGGAGCCTGCCTGTACTGTGAAACATCTACCAAATATATGTATTTAGAAGCCTAAAATGCAGAGCTGTTGTATTGTGTGCATCCTGGGGAGATAAATCACTGACATAATTGTATATGGCTTCAAAAAAACTCACAAGAAGATGGATGGAAAAAGTTCTGACAAACTAGATTTCATCCTTGAGGAGGAAATCCTTAAAAGGATTCCTTAAAAACTTGCACTGCATAGATAGGCTGTCATGTCTAGGCGACAGTTTGCACATGGATTCCTATAAATACAGTGCTTGTTTCTGAGCTGCAGAGAGGCAGAGAAACTATTTGAGGAAACCTAAACTTTTTTTTGCCTTACTACAAAAAAGGTTCTGAATAATCAGTGAGGGCAAAGCAACCAGGAAACGTATAGTTTTTTTCTAACAGAAAAAAAAATAGAAGAAATGATGCTTCATTCTTAAAAAGTTTGTTGTGTCTGACTCTGATCTTGTTAAGATTTGGAGCAATCCTTAATTTTGACAAAGGGAAAGTAAAATCATCCCCATTCAATAAAATGGGTATACACTGGCTGGATAGAGCAGAGATTTGCCCTTCAGGTCGGGGCTGGAACACCATCAATTTTAATCTGACTTTTAAGGAAATGGAGGGAGAAAAAAAGCCAATGATTTGCCGGTATTATTTTTACCTATTGCATTTTGGAGACTTGCTGAACTGATGCCAGTGGAAAACCCCACTTCAACCCTGCTGCCCACATGGAATGGAAGTTAATAAGGGCTGCCCTCTGTCAGGGGCCCAGTTGTGGGGCCCCATCCTGCCACCTGAACCTAGTTGCTTGGTTTTATCCATGAAAGGTTTCAGTATTCACTCCTGGTTTAATCCTTATTTGAAGAGTAGCTGTAGGATCAACTTTTTACTCTGACAGACCTGCACAAACCTCATCTTAAAGCTGCAGTACTGGAGATGTCTGCAGTGCCATCTAATGGCTACAACCACGTCCAAGAGATCATACTTTGATAGAAGGGTGTGTGTGTCTTTGCTCTTCTGTGCTATATGCAGCCTTTTTCTTCCTGGCAATGAAAAAAGGATGGGCTTCCTTCTGGATTTTTGTCGCAATAAAATACTCCCCCATCACGTTGTCTCAAAAAGGTTGGTTTATCCATACCGAGATTCTCTGGAAATTTCCTCCACCATGGATGTTAGTGACACAGCAAGATCTCCCTGACAATTTCTCTACTAGAAGGGAGTTGTTCTTATGCAGAACATCTTACCCAGTGTGCAGAAAATGCCTCACAGGGCTGCCTACAACCCAATTCAAACCCTACACTTTGTATGTCCCCAGTTGTAGGACCCATGTCCAGTGCTAGGTTTATGCTAAATCATATGATACAGTTCATAAAACAGCCCCCCCCCTTCAAGCACCATTCTCTAAGTAGCCACGATGGACTTTACACTGAGATTCAGTGGACAGAGGCTTTAGACTTAACCCAAGGAAAAGCAGGGAGACTCCAGTGCTGCTGAAGGAAAAGCCGTCTCTGTCAGCTGGTTGCTTGTGGTAGCTTTCTAGTGGTAGTGCAATGGAAATGAGGAAGAAGAGAGCCTGAGAGCTGCCCTTAGCATGTAATTTGTCTTTATCCAAAATACTGTCCAGACACCTTTTAAGTTCCCCAGAAGTGTTTTATATTCTTAAATGATGCACAGGTCTTTCCATGGCTTCCTGTTCAGGACAATTCTTCAGACCTTATCCATCCAGTTACTTGGCTCACCTTGTAAATTCCTATCTAACGGAGTGTGGAGGGGTGCTGGCAGTGCCTAAGATCTTTCCTTTTCTCTCTGTCACTTTATCATTTTTAAGGCACTTGGTCATTTGTGACCAAGCTCAAGTTTGTTACAGTATATAAAGGAACTTCAGATTTTCTATCTGAGTGACAGTACTTGAAGCTTCTTGCAAGGATGTGGGATTACACCTAGTGACTCAGATGGCCCTTCTAGAATGCTAAGCCCCTTGAAGTAGAAATTCAGCATGATGAATGGATTACCTAGCTCTTAACAGGGACCCACAGTGATGCTTCTGGCAATACGTAGCCTTTCAGCTTGAATGACTGTTCCTGTGAACACAGATCAGAACTCATGCCTTAGGATTTCAGCAAAGCATCACATTTGTGTGGTTTTATTCCAAAATGCATTTATTTGTGTCTTGTTGTCAGACTTCAAGTGTTTGAAACATCTGGATACCCTGCTGAGTTTTACTTTTATTGCTGTAAATGTCTTTTACATGAAAAAGATTTTTTGGATCTTGGATGTAAATAAGATGTTCTGGTATTTAATTTCTTTTTTTTATTTGTCCTCACTGTAGGATTTGCTCTACTTGGAGGACATCCTGCCTTCCTTACAACACAAGACATACATCTGGGCACTAATGAGAGTTTCACAGATACAGCAAGGTTGGTAAAACATCACTTGATTAATGACGATGCATTTGGTAGTTTATCAGGCTGAAACCTGTCTTATAGAATTTGGAAGCTAGTATTTTCATTCTGGATAATGTCAGAAGGCACTTCACATTTCTTAAATTTTTACAGATCAGTTCACAAAATGTGTAGCTCAGTACCCTTACAGCCACTTCAGCTCTCCAAAATGAGAAATATTTTTATCAAATTCGGCATATAGAGTGCTAATGAGAGTGACAGTCACACAAACAGAAACATTTTATGTTCCTCAGTAGTACAGTTCCACTGATGACAGCACATATATTCAAACAAGACTAGAACCTTCTAGTTCTGTTGCTCCTCATGGAACTAGAAGTACAGCTCACTGGCAAATAAAAAAGCAAAATCAAGAAGCAAGGACTTTATTTATCCTAGTTAGGGCAGCTGCTGATGGGTCTTACCCTATCTGCTGTGACAGGCTGCACTGAAGGCCACTCTCATCCCCCTGTTTCAGCAGCATCAACACTTTGCAGGCAATTTATGATTTCATGTGCCCTCTTCCACAGCTGTACCCACTGTCAGGACTGGAGGCTGGGCTATGGCATTGTTCTATAGGGACCCTTAGAAGATCTTATTCATGCCCATTCCCACATGCATGTAAGGATGGGTAGCTAGCAAACTATCCTCATCGCCATAACAGGGAAGAACTGAGCTCAGGCTTTTTTATCTGGTGTATTCTCTCCGGTGTTGCAGAAAGTAGGCAGAACATAACACTCCCATGTATTAAAGACTCATCCATCCTCATTATTGTGCGGCTTTCTAGGCAGCCTTTTGCAGCCTGAGTCAGGCTTGTTGCTGAAAGGTTAGTTGTCTCAGAAAGGTCCTTTTTATTCTTGTGAAAGACATACAGTGTCAAGCTTGTCAGGCACAATTCAAAATATCTAATCAGCCAGATGAGGTTCCATTGCCTTTGCTGTATACTACAGTTTTCACAGTCAGTGGAAGAGGTTGTCTGAGAACTCTGTTGCTGTTCTCCCTGTGGTGAAATCCAAGGAAAACATAAAGAAAAGACCAAACGTTTGAACATTTTAAAGTTTCCTTTCTTGCTTTTAACTATTGAAGTGGAATACATATGGGTGTTGACAGTAGGAAGTAAAAATTTCTGTCTCTTGAGGTTTGAAAGTACTTAGCTTCCACTCCCTGCTGGATATATAACTCTGCCAGTATCAATATAAGCTGCAGTGATAGGGCTCAGATGTTTCAAGAAAAGTGTGTCCCACTGCTTTGCTTTAGTAACTACAAGTTTAAAAGATTCAAACAATGTATAGACTCATGGACCTACAAAGGGAACAGATTAATCTGAGACTTAACAGCCAAATCTGAGGTACTTTAGGCTACTGTGTCCAGTGGCCACTCTGTCCAGTTCAGCATTGCTCAGACACTGCCAGGGAATTCAAATACATCCCCTCAAAAGCATTCTTCATACATCATGGGACATACCCACAGTTTAAGCAGGGAAGCTATAGCTTCATCAAAGTGTGCTATTTAAATGCTTCAGAGCATATGCATTCCAGCTACAGCTCTACTGGCTTGAGAGCTGGAGGATTTTTCAAGTCAAACATACTTAGCTTACTATGTCATAGTGAAGGTGAATGGGAAACCTATCAAAGGTAAATCCCCCCCAATGATGTAAATAAGTATTATTCACCAAGTGTCTTGCTTCCATTCTCACTGGATCAGAAACACAGTAAGCTACAAGAAATAAGGCAAGAAGTAGAAGTAAGAAAATCTTCCATCCAGAGAAGTCTCCATTCTGTGGAGGAAGCTCCCACAATTCCCACTTCCCATGCAAGCCTTCAGCCCCACTTTTCTCTGTCACTGCTTGCTCTTCCAGGGCAAGTCCCTTTCTATGACCCTGACCTGGGGATTTTGCTCCTCTGCTGAGTCATATCACTCGCCTCTGTGGATTGAGGGCTCCCCCAAGATCTTACAGAGCCCCACGTGTTCTGCTTCACTTCTGCTCTCATTGGCAGAATTATTATTGACTTTACACAATCAAAAGAACAACCTGAGTGTTAATTCCTTGGCATTTCTTGTGATTGAAGGGTAAGATCCCATCTTAATTCATTCAGTTAATGGAAGAATAAACAAAAAGAATGCCTGTAGTAGGTCCAGAGGGTATTTCAAATATTTAGAGCCATGTGTTTAGGGCTCTGAAGGCATTAGAAGTATTTGAAATTGAAACTTAAAGCAAAGGGGCACAGATCTATAAAAGTCACAGTTTTTATTATAATTGCTGCAGGTAATGGTTGAAAGAATTTCTGCTGTGAACACACCTTTAGTGATTTATAACCTGCTTATAAATCAGTTCTTCCATGCTTCACAAGACATCTACATTTATGCTGACACAGTAGCAAAAGTCACCGCCCATAAAAGAGCTCTAAGCCTTTCAGTGCTGTTTAGCATGTCTGATATATTACATGAAATGAAATATAAGTACTATATTTTCCACTATAGAGCAGACCCACTGTGCACCACTATAGCTCAGGGGCCATAACGTTCAGTGACAGCAGCGAAGAACTCTTAGGATGATTTTACCAGTCCACTGGCATTATTAGGGGATGGATCTCTGCATCTATGGGGAATGGGGTTTACTTCTCACTGCTTACTGAGAACACATCCACCATGTGCTCCTGTAAGACTACGAATGACAATGAAGTAGTCTTGTCAGAAATTAAAACCTGTGTGCTTTCACAACAAAACCAAAACTACCTTGGATAGCAATATTCTACTTGAAATATATGCAAATGTCCCATTTGCAAATTCAGAAATCAGCCACACCAAAAAAGAATACTTTTACTTGTGTTTAATTTTGGATTCCTCAGAGGATACACTTCATTAAAAATTTCCAGCTTTCCTCTGTAGAAATAAAAGTTATTTTGAAACGATAGACATGCAGCATTCTAATACACATATATTTCCAAGCTTTAGAATTTTGAAATTGATAGGATCACAGTTTTGCAAAAAGAATGAAAAGAGAGAAGGACCTTGTAGTTGGTGATAATACAGGAACCTTAAACCAAAAGTCACCTGATGAACCTGTGTTTACTCCCCCTCACCTTCCAAAACTTTGTCTTTACTAAAGACTCTCATCCAGCCAGGTCTGTTTTCCGGTGCAATTCCAGCCTCATATGGTTTCCTTTGAGTTGATTACAGACTTCTTCATCTCCTGAGACAAGTTTTGTTTTGTTTTGCTTTGCTTTGTTTTGGTGTTTGGTTGTTGTTGGTTCTTTTTTTTTTTTTTCCTGAGTTCAATTTGGTTTTGATTTCACAAAGAATAAACCTGGTTTCCTCCTGAGTTTCCTACTGTAAGATATGATATGTAGAAATGCTGGCAGAAGGACTGCCTGGAGTCTTGCCACTGTGTCTAATAAAGTCTAGTATCTGCTTTCAAAAGCAGATAGAAATTTTTTTTCAACAGAAAGAAAATTCACCATTTTTCACTAGTTGGTAATTGATTAGGACTGAATTTCCTCTGCTGGCATATCCTCTAAAGGGACCATCTTCTCACTCATGTCAGGTTAGAATCAGTTGTACTGCCATCCTAAAAAAAATAAATAAATAAAAAAGTGGAGTCTAAGAAAAATGGGCTATTTTCCATTGTGATTGCTGGTAGGACTGGCTATGTATTGCTTAGAGTGGGCACCTGTTAGATGGCTAACAAAAGGAGCCATGCATGCCGTTCCTGATGACTAGTTAAGAGCAGAACAGATTTTCCACAGTTGCATGCTTCAAGCTAGAATAAACACTCAGAGAAAAAGAAACCGATGAGCTAAAAAGAAATAATGACACAAACAGCAGCTGTTCCAATACCTTGCAATCAGTAAATACCTTGTTCGATTCCTCCTTCTCACTTATAGCTACTATTGGCAGTCTTTTCTTCCAAGAGAGCTTCCCAAGAGGGAACCTTGTAATATTTTATTAGAGTTTTGCTTGTGTGAGGAATGTCCAGTGTCAGTAGAAAATATTTGTTACTGACTTCATCAAGAGATTTGTCTGTGTAAAGGCAACAGCATTAACAGCTGCATTTCCACAAGAGAAGATGCCCGAATTCTTGATGGCTAATCAGGAAGATAGATAGATACCACAAGGATTTTGCATACTCTTCTATTCAGTCTCTTCCTTGTTTTATTTTAAGGTCCTATTAGAAATAACATGAAAACACACAAAATACTACTTCAAAGTCAGGCTTCAGGGCCTGATTAAAATGCAGAAATGCAGAGAAAGGCAGAGCTCCAATCCATATTTAATTTCTTTAAAGAATTCAGAGCACACCGCATATACTATGCTAATCTCTCAATCTTTCACACTTTGGCAAAATGAGGTTAAAGCCAGAGTGGCACAGTGACTCCTGCGTGCCCCTATCCATATACCGAATTTCAAATTTGGGCATTACTTTAACACTGATATCATGTGTTTCAGCACAGAAGTTTTTAAGTAGGAGAAAGAACACGCCAGTGTTATTAGCCTCCTGTTTCTATGTTCATTAGGGTCAGTAAATAATTGAGGTAATCTAAGACATATCTGTGTTTCTGATCCTCACAAAGGTCAGGCTACCATACACGGACACTGTAATAGTCAGTCAATGATACATTTGCTCTTTGCTAAAAGTCTCAAGAAATCTTATACTTTGTCTCTTCTGAAGCTACCAAATTCTTCAAATGTTACAGTGTCACACAATCGCTTATCTTAGTTTGGATACCTTAATATTTATTGATGTTCTGTCTGTAGCTACAATCAAACACCAAAGAGAAGAAAACATAAAATACAGTGGCAGTTTTCATTTACTTGCTATAGTTTGTTAATAAGTAGACCTGCTTACCTATTAGAAGTTTATTAAATGTCTGCATTTAAGTTTGTTATGCAGACATGATAAATTATTCAGATAGCTGAAAAAAAAAGTGATTCATTGCCACTTCTCATTAATATTGATGTGTTGCACGCTGAAGAGTGCAGCAGGGCTGTACTTACTATATTTGACTTGGGTATTTTCTGCCATCCTCCAGGGTGCTTTCCAGCATGACAAATGCAATCTTGGCTCGAGTTTATAAGCATAACGATCTGCACCTAATGACGAAACAAGCCACTATCCCAATAATCAATGGATTGTCCGATTTACACCATCCTCTCCAGATTTTAGCTGATTACCTAACTCTTCAGGTAACAATATAGTCCCCCTTTAATAACAATTTTCTTTTTCTCCAAGTCTTAGTAAGTATTTTGGGAAGTCAGGTTCAAAAGCATTTATTCTCAGGGTTTTTTTTTAGGTGGCAGTTATATGGCACTTGTTATTTGAAGAGATACTGATCCAGCAATATAATTAAGAAACTTTTTTATTTAAAACAACTACCTGGTCCTACCAGCTGTAGTGGGACTGAAGGGACTGAGATGAAACATGAAATTAAGTACTTCATTGGAATTAGGCTGCAATTCAGAAAATGGGCAAGGAGCTTTGCATATTACATAAAAGTAATGTAATACTTTTTGGCTCAGTCAAAGCCAGTGGAAGATTTTCCACTGACTTAAAAAAAAAAAAAATCAGTGGTTCACTCTTGATTCCTCCCTAACCTATGAATAGTTTAAAAGGAATCACTATCCTGTATTAGGAAACTGGTTAAAGAAATTTGTTTCTAAAAGCCACTTAATGCTACCAGTGCAAACACCTAAAGTTCAGCCACTTAAACCTATTTAAACTTTGCTCACTTCAAGTAATAGTTAAAAAAAAAAACAACATATTTTGTAGTTTAATCTAATGCAGTAGTTGATTTGACAGCAGGATAATGTTTCACACATAGAATACCAGATGTTTATCTGTGAACAAAAGGACTATGCTGTTTTACAATCAATTGAAGAACTGGCTTATAAAAAAAAAGATTATTATACTGCAATGCTGGTTGACAACTATGATGAACTCCTCTGACCTTGTTTACTTTCTGAATGAATAAAAATCACAGTGCTTGAAAAAGAGAGGGCAGAACAATTTCCTGATCTATTCAGCTGTGTTTCTCAGCTGTTGAAGACTTTGATAAGGGACATTCAGTCTGTGAAAAAGATCTAGAGAGTAATAATAAATTATTCATGCCTTAAACTTTAAATACTGGAAGACTCATGTGTTTAGTGAAAATTGCTTTTTCGTTGCTTGGATTAGTATTTTTTTGTAAAATTTTCAATACTTGAAGACACCAGCAAAAACTGGTGAATTTGAGACTAAAATGCTCCACATACCCCAGGATAAGGTTTGTTTGGGAGATCACATTGTGCCAGCCTTAATGAACTGTTCCAATTACATAAAACAGTATGCTGTAATGAGACCATCATCAATCTTTATATGTCAAAAGTTCATTTAAACACTGTGTGCAAGTGTAAACCAGGTGAATCTTGTAGTTGTGTTATATAGAGGCTTCTGTCTTGCAAACAGCTTATTAGCATTTTATCACTTGTGAATAACAAGCTTCAGGAATAATCTGTGACTCAGCCTACACAACTATTGGTATCTCTGCCCCTAAACTTGATTTTATCCAGGTCGCTGACCGTAGCACCACGGTTCAGGGTGCTGTTGCCCTGTTCTCCATCTCCAGGCAATGAAGAGAGACCACTGAGTATCAAAACCACACTCTAGAGATGCATCTCTTTCTCCATTGATACTACGGGGAAACCTATGGAGATGAGCAGAATCAGTGCATGCTCTGTTGATCACCCTCTGCTCCACCTCCATTGTGTCCTTGTACAGGGCAGACATCTCCAAGTGAACATGAGCCCACAGGCTGTACTTTTCTTTGGGTTGAACGCCTTGGGCAACAGCAGATGGTTGTCCTTGTTTCATCAAGCACTGGGGAGGACATCTTTGGAAAGAGTGTCGCTGCTTACTTTACATTATGATACGTTATGAGGAAACACAACCACATCACTTTGCGCTCAAACAAAGACACGTTTGATGTGCATATGTATCATTACCAAGTGAGCACTTACAGAGACCTCAAGGAATGGCTCAGCTTTTGGACAGTCATGGAAGCTTTTTAAAATTTACAGCACTTTCCCAGTCAGCCTAATAAGCAGAGCTGTTTCCTCCATCTGTGTCCAACTCTCTCCTAGGCTTTCCAGCATGTTCCTCAGCCCAGAGTTTGCCAGGAGGTCTTTAGAGGGCAGCTGGTGGCTGCCACTTCACCAAGGGCATGCTGCACCACCGGTTTCTGACCCACTGTCCATTCTTCCTTTCTCACCCAGGAGAGAGGTTCAGGCAGGGGGGAACTCTCGGTTACCCTCAGAGCACTGTGGATGTTGACACTGCTTGTTCTTTCCTTTTCTGACCTGCCTGCCCACTGCCTTTTTTCCCCTGTGCACTGTATGTACACTGAAGTGAAGAAGACTGGTCTTAAGCCAGTAGCATGTAATAAAATGGCATTTTAATCTTATAATAAACTTTAAGAGGTCACAGAAGTAGGAATAACACTTAAAGAAGTGTGAGCCACAGGGTCTAGTTGTTACTTACCAAGATCAAACTTCTCATGAGATTTTCAGCAGGGTAAAAAAATGTTACCCAAGAACCACCTGCAGTAAGGTTAATACGGGGATGTTGAATAGTACCTCTGATTCTCTAAATTAATTGAAAGTTCATATATGACATTTCACTGCCTTTCTGCTATGCAAAGGCAATATATTTGGCTCATACACACATGCAAAATACAATAGTGGCACAGACTGCTAGCCTTATATATAAATGTAACTACAGATTATGCACAGTTTATTTATCTTTAAAAATGTCTCTTCCTTATCTCTGTAAATATTTTCCTGCCTGTATTTGCTCCTTCCTCCTGTCAGTACATAACTAAAATTTACTTTCTTTTCTCTCTCTTTTTTTCCCTCCTGCTGCATTGCCAGTGGAGGACTGCATGCACTCTGGCCCTCTTCATGCTTAGCACATTTTTATTCTTCCATTTTCTAAATCCTATTCATTTTATCACATGCCTTCTTGAATCCTCTTCAAGCATCTTCTCTTTGATCTGAAACTGCCTAATTTTCTGGTTTATTTTGTTAAAATGTATTCTTTCTTGTGACTTCTAATTCCCTTTTCACAGGTGCTTTTTAGTGTGGTTATTTTATTATAGTCTCTTGCATTCCCCAAACAATGTGGCTGGTTTATTTTCAGGGTTGTCAGTTCATGTTCTGTGTTCAGGCTGTTCTTGTCATATCAGAAAGTGTGCTTTGTCATGAATACTGGAGCGAGATTCTTCAGGTTCAACATCCTCTTGCCCAGTGCCTTCTTCTTGAGCAACTTGGAGCCCCCCACATGTTTGACATCTAAGCTGACTCTGCCCTTTAATACTGTGGTCAGGTTTAATGCCCTGTGTTATGCTAAGAGGGATGTAGCATATGTGCTACCCTCTTTCTTAAAAGTTGTGTTGATCTGAGTTTGCTCTTGATCTATAACCCACTAGAAACAGTTGTAAACATTATGCAACGTGATTTTGAGGGTTTGGGGATTTGGCCTTTAGAGACCACGAGTGCTGGTACTGTGCACATGCAGAGCCACTTCTCTGTGCTGAAGGCATGTAACAGCCCCTTGCTGAGCTCACCCGGTACCTCTCAGTTTCCTAGGCAGAAGCTGTGGCTCACAGCTTCTGCTCTGTGAAGCTTGGCTGGAGGGCAGCATCACACAATTTGTATTTCAGGGACAAGCAGGGAACTGACATTGATTCAATTGATAGTAATGTCATTGGCCATATCAGCTAACTTGTAGTTGACTGCAGGATGGCCAGACTGGTAATTAGAGCGGGTCCATATGCCACTAGCTTTTTATGTCACTGGTCTGATGGGGAATGCCTTTTTCAGAAAGAAGTGGTTGGCATAAGAAATACATCAGTGATTTCTTTTTAAGAAGTGTAACTAATTACAGTGTTGCCCAGCTTGAAGAGGGCTGCCATACACCTGAACTTCTCTTCAGTCTGTCACCCAAAGAGCTCAAATTTTTATAGTCTTCAGATTCACCGCCACCACCACCACTATCATCGTCATCATCACCATCATTACTGTAACAATTAGAAATCCCAACTAAGATCTGGTCTGATCCTTTAGGATATACTGTTTCAATAAACAAGACAAAACCCAGTGTGGGAGTAAGAAAGATAAATGGACCAGCATCTACCTTTAGGTCAGCTTGAGAGTCAGTAGATCCAATTTTGCCCAGTTTCTGATTTACTGGATTGCACTGCCTCCCAAAGGGCTTCCATTTTAAATTTTGACAGATTATTGATTCAGTATTCAAAAGCTTATTTTAATTGAGGGCTGTTCTGACTGTTGTGGTCAAACATTTCAGAAGTAATCTATAATGGTGTCAGAGTTTCAGTCTTGCTGGAAGCAAGTCCAGGCAGAGGCAGACACGAATATCCCTAATTAGCTAAACCAGTCTTTTCTGAACATAGAACGGTGCTAAATCACTGAGCGTGTTTATTATTTCCCAGGGTTTGATACACTGATACACTGCAACCACAGCTAAGAACAGAAGGAAGCATTGTAAAAACAGCATGAGGGTGAGAAAGTTGACTGTAAAAGCGACATTAATTATTTAGCAGGGATTTTTCATGACAATAGCAAAGCCAAGTTTTGTGGCACTACAGCAGCCAAAGAGGCATTCATCAGGGAGAAGGGCTCTAGACTTTCTAAATATGTTATTTTTTGTATGGCTTTACTAGGGGAATAAGTATTTTGAAGTGTAAAGAGAAACTGAAGAACACCCAAGCAGGTAAAAAGTCTATATCAATATGATAGAGTTTGGAAAAAATTGGGGAGGGATGTGTAGCTTCAGAAGCTCATGTGATCAGCATGTATTGTAAAGGTTCTGGTTTAGCCTAAAGTGTTAATTTGTGGCAAAACACCTTTAACAGGATTTCCTCTGAGCAATTGTATAGGCACATACTATAAAACAAACAAACAATAAATAATCTCATTTGTGGTAGCTTTCGTATTCCCTCAAAGCTTTCTGGTTCCGACCAACACAATCACCTCATCTTTCTTGGAAGCTCAGGATGTATGTGTGTAAGCAGTGCAGTCACAGCCATGGTAAGCTGGCTTTAGATGAAGGGGTTTGAGATACGCTGCGTACCAGTGACAACATAAAGCTTAGCACAGGATACAAAATAGGCTCCACTAGCACACACACCACTTGATTCTGCCTTGTCTACAACATTTTCCATTAGCTAAATGTCTTCACTAAGATTAGCTCAGCTATGTCCACTCTATACAGTAGTCACTGCAGATGTAGCTTTGCAATTTGCAGTGCACATTGCGGGTCATTATACAGACATCTCCAGTACTTTGTATTTTATCTGTGTCAACTAGTAGCTTGGGAGCAGAGAAAAGTATTTAGTAGGCACTGTGCTTCTTTTAATGCAGAGTAGCAGCTGGTAATAAGGTGGAAGTTATTTAACCCAGCCGTATATTTGTGACTCACTAGTGAGTGCTTTGAGCATTAAGGCTACAATGCCTATTTTTAAACCGTAAGATCAAAAGATCTCAGGGCTGTCTCATTTGCTCATGGCTGTGGGTTCATGTCTCAGCTATCACTAAGCACTAGCTGGAAACAAGCCCTTAAATAAATGCTTTAGTTTGGCCTTCTCTTAGAAGTACCACTGCTAGGAGATGTGGAAGGACTTTGAAAGATCCTTAAGAGACCTGCAAAACTGTTTCACTGAAATAACTTCCATGCCAGCAAAGTTCTGATTTGCTCTCCTGTAAATACCCTTGCATCAAACCTCTGCCAATAAGCCTGCTGCTAGCAAACATCAACTGAAAAAGCGATAGTTTTGCAGTATCCTAGTTTTAGCCCTTAAACTGTAGGCAGCCTCAGACTCCATTATTTTTAGTTTTCAATGGTATTTTAATGTCATTCAATATTTCAAAAGCTACTATTTTTGACCTTCAATTGTGGTCATTGGCAGAAATGCCATTAACTTTGTTCTGGAACAACTTCATAACTATTTGTTAGAAGAAACTGCTGCCAGGAGAGAAGGGGGTAATCCCAGCCCTTTCCCTATTCAGTCTTTTGGCATCTTTGCCTGCAAAGTTGCCAGTTAGGACAGCTCTGCAGTGTGGATGCTTATCCTCTCTGACAAGCATTGAATCATGCCACACAAAGTGTTGAAACACTGTCTGGCTTCCAGCTACTACAATACAATTGTAGCCTGGCCCAGTTTTGAACTAAGAATAAAAGGCTCTCCATCATGTCTTTAGCCTTTTGAGTCACGAGGTGGAGTTGTACAGATCAGGCATATAGAAGCATTTGGTTATGTCTTTACAAACTTTCTGGTATCAACTTAAGTACCTATAACCATGCATATTCAAAACAATATGGCTAAAAAGGCCATATTTCCTGTTTTTGAAATACAAAAATCATATTACTGTTGTTCCTCCTTAGACCTTATCTGCTGGGAGCTGAGGGCCAGAGTAGCTGTACATGTACAGGCTGTAAGTGCCAGCGAGCAAAGCTACAGTCAATGCTGAAATGCTGTTTCAAGTTCATACAATCCACACTCTAAAAGAATCACTCTTAGGCTGAGCAAGGCAGAGCAAACCATGAGCGCATGAGCTGCACAGCTCCTTTCAAAGTATTGCTTTTTTTGCTGTCCTGTACAGCTGTGACAGTTAAAATGCACTCCAAGGCCATCCTCAATAGGGATATTTTCACAATTTGGGGGAAAGCTGGAATGAGTGCTATGCTAGGTGACAGCATTGCCTCTAAATAAAGAATTTCTACCATTCACTAATATTTATGAGCACCAGCCCACAGCTGTACATTACTGTGTCTCAGCCTCAGCTTCCCAATATGTCATACATGTCAATGTGTCCTTCAGGTGAGAAAGCTGCAGTACTTGACCCTTCATGTAAGACATGGGAGGATTTTTCCTCTCTGGCCATCTTGTAGCTGCATTAAGTTTAATTAAGAAGTATGGTTCCATGCAGCTAGCATTTGAAGTAGCCAGCCTTCTTTGCAGCAGACCTGTCTGATTAACCCCTCCTACCTAGGGCATCAGCTTCCTGGAACATAACGAGGGCTATCTGATTCATTTGACAGGAGCACTATGGTGGGCTGAATGGGCTTACAATCACCTGGATTGGGGATGGAAACAACGTTCTTCACTCCATCATGACAAGTGCTGCAAAGCTGGGAATTCACCTGCGTATTGCAACTCCCATGGTAGGAAAGCCATCCACATGGAGTAAAGAAGGCAAACTGCCCATTCTTGTCTCAGCCACATGGACAGTTACCAAGGGCCTCAGCTAGTGTTGTTTGCATGTATCTTGCATGCCAGCTTTCAGAACCAAGGTTCAGAATCCTGATTCAGTTATCTTGATGCAAAGCAGAAGTAATTCTACTGAGTCCAACTTCAGAAGGGTTGAGGGGAATTTGTGACTGCAGTATAAATCATGGAAGATGATAGTTCCACTTGTAAAAGTGTTATAAAGTCATCCAATCCACTCTCCCCACAAAACATTACAAAAATGGTTTCAGATTTGTGGAAGTGTTGCATCTTGGTTGGTTCACAGTGATGATGTTGCAATGTAGTACAATATAAAAAATAAAGCAAAAAGTTTAGGTAAAAAAACCCTCCTATATATAGTCTTTTCATTCTGTAACTGTTCAAACTTATTTTTTCTTACCTTATCAGAACATCTTTCACCATTTTATTTCCAAAATAAACTTTCAACAAAATTAACATAATTTCCACTAGTTTTACCACTCTGAAAGACATTCTTTTTCCCATGGCAAATGGTTCAATCAGTATTTTTCTAACCAGTGTTAATAATCAATTAAATCTTGTATGTAAAAAAAATCAATTAAATCTTGTATGTAAACCTATTGCCTTTTTCGGCAGGGCTTTGAACCAGACCTCAAGATAACTAAAATAACTGAGCAGTTCTCCAGTGAGGTAGGAACCTAAGAAATAGGCTAGTAGAGCAGATTGAATAGAGTTTATTTTTGTTATAAACAAAGTTGATGTTTCTTGTCTTCTTTATTCACATTAGTATGGTACCAAGTTACTCCTCACAACAGACCCTTTGGAGGCTGCAGATGGTGCCAATGTCTTAGTTACAGATACATGGATAAGTATGGGGCAAGAAGAGGAAAAGAAAGAAAGACTAAAGGCATTTCAAGGTTATCAAATTACAATGCAGGTAAAAAATTGAGATTTAGTTTTGTGGTTTAGTTTTCTGGATGCTTTTACAGTTTGCATTTATGAGAATCAACATCAGCAAAGCATGGGTTTGTTATCTTTTTGAGTTGGGGCTATGGAACAACCACATTCAAACCTCCATCCAGCTTGAAAAACTCACAAAAGTAACAAAGTTTGAGTTATCTTATACACTTCACATGGCTTGGCCCCTTGCAGAGCTTCCCAATGAGGCCTAACTCCAGAACATGGGCAGGAGTGTTAATCCTTCACTTCTTTATGACCTAAAAGCTATTTCTACCTTTGCATTTCCTCTTTGATACCAGAAATGATCCTTTATGTTTTATTTAGAATGAGCAGCTCACAGATAAATTCTTTAATGCCTGGGCAGCATTTGGGGCAATTTTGTGTATGTCTGTCAATGAATAAATCATCAAATATATGTCTTTAAAATCGTCCAGTTGAAATGCTTATCAGCACAAAATCAGTTAGAGGATACACAGAATCATAAACTATTAATTGCATAAGATAAAAAGGACATCTTCCTTGCTGATAGAATTACTGGTTTTATTGACTGTATTTTAACACAAATTCACAAAATACTATTGATGGTTATTGATGTCTCTGAACTGCCCTAAAATGCTTAAATTCATTGTTTGTTGGTATTAGATCAATATATTATGAATGACAATATAAAAAGAGAAAAAATATAGCCTTTTAAATCATGGTTTATTATGTTCTTGTTACAATTATTGATAGATTATATTAGTGTGTGGCATTCAAATAAAGACTGCAATTTATTGATCCACTAGGTCCCTGGAGTTTTACTCCCCTACTAAAGCCAGAAGAACAGGAGTAAATATCTAACTTCTGTGAAGTCAGCACTGACCTCGTACTGACTTTCATGGGGATATTCCCATCTTTTTCACAAATGAGGAATTCTTTTACAGTCAGTGGAATCCTTCTGAGTTCATCAGAGAAGTAACCCAAGTGGGAGCTAATAAGGAATTTTTTAACCTTTTTACTAGTTAAAGGTTTTATTTATGTCCTCACATGTTTTTATTTATGTATTTATTTTTATATGCTTTTTGATCTACAGACTGCGAAATCTGCTGCTTCCAACTGGACTTTTTTACACTGTTTACCCAGAAAACCTGAAGAAGTTGATGATGAAGTATTTTATTCTCCACGGTCATTGGTTTTCCAGGAGGCTGAAAACAGAAAATGGACAATTATGGTAAGGAAAAAGGATAACAGTAGTTAGAAGTTAGGGTCAGCTTCTGTTTTACCTTACACTACAGGCTTGATTCAGCTTATTTCCTCAATAAATAGTGAATATTAATACATATACTTCAAATGCACCCCATAGTACATCACAGTTTTGACTACAGGCAAGATATATATGTAGCAGAAATACTCCTAGACACAAATGTGGTGTATTTTGATTTTAATCTGCTGTTGTTTGACCTATTTTTTATCACTAAGTGAAATCTACAATATAAACTTTAATTTTTTGGTATTTAAATCACTGGGTTTACTCTAATGATTAACTCAGCTGCTCAATTTTAATACATGTCAAATGCTGGGGCCCCAGGGACTGGTGTTAGAAACTCCAATTTCCCAAACACTTAAAGCTTCTGCAGTTTTCTCTCAGGAAAAGCTGCTACTGACACCAATGGGAACTTTCCCTGAGAAAGTGATGCAAGAACAAAGCTTTAAAGGGCCTTGAAAAGTTATGGTGTGGGTAATACTGTGTGATCCATGGGAACCGTGAGAGGACATTGGCATTTAACATAAACCATAACTCCCGTCTCAGCATTCCTAGAATTTCAGCAAATTACTGCCAGATCTCAGGAGCCTGTTATTTGTTGTTGGCTTTAGAACCATGTTGACAAAAGCTAGTGAAAACTTTCAGAGGTGAAAAAAAACCTCACCAGAAATGGCATTGTCATAACTCTCAGATAAACTCTAGGTGTGCTCTTAGTGAATAAGTAGTTGAGTATGGTATTTACTAAACCCTCAGATTTTACACGGTCCAATGTATTAAGAAATTTGTGTTAAATTCATAGTTTTAGAATTCAAAAAAAGTGATAACATTTTTTATTTTAAATTTTCAGTGTTTCTAATTGCCCTAAATATTATTTTTTCAAAAAGAAAATAAACCCTTTACTGTACATTTTTTCCAGCGCACATTTTTTTTAGGGTGAGAAAAACGTCATATTTGTGTTTTATCAAGCTGTAAAAATAATGAATGCCTCGGTTTTGTGTATCTGTTATGTTCTATCACTTTCAGCTCAGGCATCAAAATGGAACACAAATTATTTGCTCAGCTGTAGTCCCAAACAGGGCTGAGTGGAGGTACGACATGGGTAGCAGCAAGAGGCTGCACAGCTGGATATTCAGTCCCCACTGTGTGCCTGGGACTTCCTCTCACACTGAGCAGTGCTGAAGGGAAAGGCAACAAGACCACAACCCCTGAACCTTTGTAAATCAAGTTCTGGACCAAAATAACAGTCTGCAGTCAGATATCACTGTGAAATCACAGCAGTGTGAACCTGGTAATATCTTGTCAAAAATCAAGCATGAGGTTGTTGCGTATACAGGTGTGGGAAGGCCAGCAGAGCTGCTGCAACACTGTGTGTTATTTAGCTGACATTCCAAATATTCTCATTTCACAGCCATACCTTTTTGTTGTAGTACTAGAGGAGGGCAGGAGGGGTAGATGACACACTATTAACCTCAGTGAGGATTTTCCATGTTATAACTCAGAAAGTATAGCTAAACTGGGATAAATTTCAAAGTCCTTGTTCTAGTATGGCTGTCATGGATGCTAATGGAAGTTCTGCTGAAATCCACAGGCAAGCCCACATGCTCTTTGGGCTCCTACAGAGTTTTCTAGCAGTAGCAGGGGATGGCATATAGCACACCAAAAAAAGGCCTCAGTGTCTGATCTAAATGCTTTGTCTGAATTTGTCCTAGGCTGTATATTTTGTCCACACTAAGAAAACCTATCAGCTGCAATACAGAACATCATAACTGATTTTCAGCTCTTTCCTGATTCATCATCAGAAATTCTAGCAAATAAATCGAAGTGGGCAGTTTTTGTCAGGACAATAATTTTCAACATAAGACTTTAGAGAAGGAAAATATTTCCCCCTTATTTATTTTTATGGAGTATCTGTTTCCAATGCGATTGGATTTTTTCTTTTCTTCTCTAGGCTGTCATGGTTTCCCTGCTGACAGATTACTCACCACAGCTACAAAAGCCTACATTTTAATGCTTGGATTTCTGCCAAGAGAAAAAAATTCCTCATCGGCAGAATATTCTGGTCTTCAAATGCATCGATCTTCTTCAGAAAGGATCAAAGCAATGAATGCTTCTTTAATAAAACTGTACAGTTAGCTGTATAATATTGCATTACATCCATGACAATGTTCAAGACAATAAACACCATTGCAAAAGCTGCTTTTCACCTCAGTGTTCCAGGCTGGCTATCCTTTCTAGTGGTCAGCATCACAGAAAATATTCCAAGGGTGTACTTTAACTATTCGCTTTACCAGCATCAGAGACATAGCATAGTCAACACCTAGCTGCGTTGGAACCCATATAGTGTAATGTGACAGACATAAACTTCTCCCTAATCCTGTGCATTTAATTGCTGATCTCAGGAAGTCTGTGCAGAGAAACAGTGCTTTAGTTTCCCTTGGTTGCCCACACTTCTGGGCACCCTGGCTCCTGTTTCTGTTCTCCAGCCAACCACCAGCTCCTGCTCTTGTTTGACACCGAAAATATAAAGACCCTGTGAGCATTATCTCCCTCCGTGACATTCCTGTGGGCTGACAGAGGAGGATATTGCTGTGGAACCGGAATAGATCAGCTTCTGCTAAGTTGGAAGCAGCAAAGATGGATGGCTGAATGGAACCGGTTAATTCTTTGTCCATCTCCCCTAAACCTTCACTCCCTAAACAGAATTTTGGCTAAAGAAGCAAATTTTCTATTTCTTCTTTTCTAAGCAAACATGGGGGCACTGTAGGATGGAGCTATACACAGCTCCTTTGTGGAAAGAATTTAGTGCATTTTGTCTGGCTCTGTAAGAGGTTTCAGCTAATCCTTCTCAGTAGTAAACAGATTCATGACATTTGTGGTTTTTATGATGGCTGGATGTGCATGTTTGATATTTCAGGTAAAGCTTTGAGAACTATCAAAACCCACCTTCTTTCTAACTAATTCTGATTAGTTTCAAGAATCTGTTGATTCCCCCCCACACACACTGTAATGCTGGAACAATGTCTGTGATTTTTTAGAAATTCTGCAAACGGGTTTCCATTTCCCGACCAGGTGCAAAACACGATTTAATTCCTTTCAAAATTGGAGTCCACTCCAGATCACGGCACACAGATCACTGAAACAAAAATACATTTCTTTATCTACCCACTTATGATTGATCTGTTGTTTTTGCAGGAATTTGTGTGTCTCCTGTTAAAATGAACACTTTTCAACAATTAACTTTTTCAGCAGTTCGGTGATCATTTACACTTCAGCAGAGATCTAGGTGTGTCAATGGTGGAGGAATAGGGTACGGTAGAAATCAGTCTGTTACTTCCCAATTCAGAATGTGGAGGAAATACAGTATATTTCTGGTTGTAACAGGTTCTGCTTTGTGAACTATGTTCAACTGCAGCAAAATATTAAAAAATATGGCTGGTTGTCTTGGAGGTAGTGAGCTGTTGAAGTGCTTAGAATAGTAGATATCCTTACTAACCTGGGTTTAGTGCTACCTGAGAGTAAGACAAAGCATTTTGCTAGTCCTTCCATAAAAAAAAAAGTAGTTTTATTGTGTTGATTCATATGCTATCAGTAAAGTTGTGCAGATTTATAATAACAAAGCTGTATTATGAAGTGTTTCATGGGGAACAGGTTAACAATTTTCTGCTATGCTTTTGCTTCTCTGTGCTCTGATTACAGCTAGCATGCATCTAGGTTTTTGCAGATTCTTTCAATGCTTAGGAATCTGAGCAAGATGCCAGACATCTGAATCCCCTGGACACTTTTGAAACACATCCATAGATCTGCTGCATAACATGTGAGCAAAGGAGTCGAACATTTCTGGGGCTAATTTCGTATGGTTCTATTCCTCTGTGAACATATACAGCAAAGGATGACAGTCCTTGCTCTATCTTGCACAAACTGCTCACAACATCAGCTGTTCTAATGCCTTTTAGATGTACTGGGTGGACTTAATGCACATGTCCTGAGCAACTGACCACTGTGTAGAAGCAGTGAACATACTACGCATTTCTGCATGAAATACCCTGCGTGTGTGCTGTGTGCTGGCAGCCAGGCACATCCCAGCAGGGCAGAGTTACTGAACACGTGCAGGCTGTCTGCGCAGTGCATGCAGAGCAGATCTGACACTTCCTGGAGGCGTTGGGCTGGTACCAAACAGGCAATGTACATTTCTGACCCAGGGACCCAAAAATATGGTGCTCTGAAGGGTTTCTCTTCTGCCTGAAGGGACTTTCACTGCCTCCCCACGCAGCAGAAGAGCACTGCAAGGATTAGTCCACTTGCGCAGGTTAAGCATCCTGGGATTGCCGGGTGGTAGCTGTGATAGAATACAAGATTGTATTATTATGCCATCCAGACTCCTCACGAATTCTTTACTTGAATTCACAAGTGATGACTGCAAATGTGGTGAGTAAAGGAAACAGCAATAACGTGGAAAGATTTTCTAGGGGGAAAAAATAGTTATCAGCATTCAAGGGTCTTTCTTAAAACAAATGCATAACAGGTAGCAGTCACTAATAGTTTACACAGTTTTTCATTACATTTATTATGCTCTAATCAGTACAAGTGCTGTTTTCATTGCTGAGTGCACTTGCAGGATAGGGTGTTGCTGTCTCCATCTTTTCACAGAGGCTCCTGCCTGGATCCCTAGGATCCTGCCCAGGATTTCCTTCCACAGAAGTCCCACTCCTCTGCTTGACCTAGAATACATCCTCAGCCAGTTTGGGTCATAGAATAATAGAATCACAGAATAGCTAGGGTTGGAAAGGACCTTAAGATCACGTGGTTCCAACCCCCTGCCATGGGCAGGGACACCTCACACTAAACCATGCTACCCAAGGCTTCATCGAACCTGGCCTTAAACACCACCAGGGATGGAGCATTCACAACCTCCCTGGGCAACCCATTCCAGGGCCTCACCACCCTCACAGTAAAGAATTTCTTCCTTATATCCAATCTAAACTTCCCCTCTTTAAAGTTTAACCTGTTACCCCTTGTTCTGTCACTATAGTCCCTAATGAAGAGTCCATCTCCAGCATCCCTATAGGCCCCCTTCAGATACTGGAAGGCTGCTAGGAAGTCTCCACGCAGCCTTCTCTTCTCCAGGCTGAACAGCCCCAACTTTCTCAGCCTGCCTTCATACAGGAGGTGCTCCAGTCCCCTGATCATCCTTGCGGCCTCCTCTGGACTTGTTCCAACAGTTCCACGTCCTTTTTATGTTGAGGACACCAGAACTGCACACAATACTCCAGGTGAGGTCTCGCGAGAGCAGAGTAGAGGGGCAGGATCACCTCCTTCAACCTGCTGGTCACGCTCCTCTTGATGCAGCCCAGGATACGGTTGGCTTTCTGGGCTGCAAGCACACATTGAAGCCGGCTCATGTTCATTTTCTCGTCGACCAACACCCCCAAGTCCTTCTCCGCAGGGCTGCTCTGAATCTGTTCTCTGCCCAACCTGTAGCTGTGCCTGGGATTGCTCTGACCCAGGTGTAGGACCTTGCACTTGGCATGGTTAAACTTCATGGGGTTGGCATCAGCCCACCTCACAAGCGTGTCAAGGTCCCTCTGGATGGCATTCCTTCCCTCCAGCGTATCAACCGAACCACACAGCTTGGTGTCATCGGCAAACTTGCTGAGGGCGCACTCAATCCCACTGTCCATGTCAGCAACAAAGATGTTAAACAAGACCAGTCCCAGCACTGATCCCTGAGGGACACCACTCGTTACTGGTCTCCAGCTGGACATTGAGCCGTTGACCACAACTCTTTGCGTGCAGCCATCCAGCCAGTTCTTAATCCACTGAGTGGTCCACCTATCAAATTGATGTCTCTCCATTTTAGAGACAAGGATGTCATGAGGGACAGTGTTGAATGCTTTGCACAAGTCCAAGTAGATGATGTCAGCTGCTCTACCCCTGTCCATCAGTTCCATAGCCCCATCATAGAAGGCCAGCAAATTGGTCAGGCGGGATTTCCCCTTAGTGAAGCCATGCTGGCTGTCACCAAGCACCTTGTTGTTTTTCATGTGCCTTAGCATGCCTTCCAGGAGAATCTGCTCCAAGATTTTGCAAGGCACAGAGGTGAGACTGACTGGTCTGCAGTTCCTTGGGTCTGTCAAGTCTTACTCATATCTGACTGATTCAATAACCATCTGCTCCAATATCAGCTCTGCATGCATTTGCATTGCTGCGTTCTGGTCCCTCTCCAGGACCAGGCACCAGCAGGGGCAACTGCCAGCCCAGTTTATCACCTGCTAGGAGGCACAAAAGGAGGACTGACCCCCCTCCCCTCTTCCTCCTCATTGTGGGGCTGGTTGTGTGCTGCCACTGTATGTACCACCACATCTAGACCTCACACATGGACAGGAATGGTAGTTGTGCTGTGCCCCAAGGGGGTATACGTATGATAACTTCACTGTCCAAAGCCCAGCCACAGCTCCAGAGCCAGCACTAGATCTGGCTTTGATATGACCAGGGTAAAATCAATCCCAGCTGCAGCCGTGGGGTAGGATCAGGGGTCCAGTGGGACTCTAACATTAATCTTTTAGACAGATGAGGGTCTCAGAGCACGGACCTGGCAGATGTGATGCAGGACTGATCGTGCACTTACAGCGGAAACTGGTGGCTAGCAAGGACATCGTACAGCACCTCAGGTGGCCCTAGGTCTGTGCTTTGTCCCCCTATCTGCAGTATTTTCATGCCCTGTTAGAGGATTACTCCTTTCCTACACCTAGACTTGAAAATGCATATTGCTTGTTAGCAATTTATGTACTCTGTAAACACTTGTTCTGCAGCTCGTTACCAGCAGTGGTGGGATTCTTTGGTTATCCTTACATAATCTCTTGAAAGTGATCTAACTTCAATTAGATATTCAGTAGAGGAAGACGGGCTAAATGCTTCTCTATACATTTCTCAGGGAGCAAGAACAACATTTTTTCCCTCTATAGTACAGAGCTAAGAGACAGCGCAGTAACTTCAGCAGGTGAGAGGCGTGCAGAAAGAATTTACAAATAATATCTCTAAGAATATGAGGAACAGTAACTTAGGAATGACTGAGTGGGGAGCCTGGGGAATCAGGAGAGAACGAAGGAGAGTAAGAATTCTCAAACAGAATTAAATACATTATTTCCACCAGCTTACATCAGGAATGACACTGGGAAAAAAATCTGTAGCAGATTTACTCATTGT